ACACATTGAGTGATGAATTCAGCCTGGTCAAACTATGTCGACTCTCGGTGTCGTGCATTTCATGCCATGGTGTACCACGATGGTGCCCTTCTGCAGGACCAGTGTTGAAGAAACCCCACATTGGAGTCGTACACTATATGCGAGAAACAAACCCCGATGTCTCTTGTTCGGTCAGCTTATTCGAGGAGACTTTCATGGCGTCGGCCATTGCGGGACAGAAAGGGCCCAGCGAGCTTTTGAGGTCTTCGTGGGATTGCCTTAGACCAAGTCACATCAAATCGCACTCTCTATACCCGTTCCACGATGACCCATCCGTTTGCTCCTGCGTTTGTCCCTGCGTAACAGCGCGCCTGCGATAAAGGCGCATCCCGTTAAAGGCGCGTCTCGCACAAACACGCCAAACTGACAGGAAGTAAGTGAACAGCACCACCGACAACACCTAATCGACGACAGCCATGGGTTGGGATGGCCTGCAAAGGGGGGTCGCCTGTAAGGAATGATTGGTTATAAGGAGTAGTAGGATGGAGGCCGCGGTCTGCGGAACCCTTGCCTTCCGAGGGTCTTCGCAGTGTCCGGATCGCACAATCGTGCCATCGTACTGTCCTCATCTGCTCTACCTCATTTCCTTCTCTGCATCGAATACAAATTTTATTTCACTATTAAGCATATACACTAAGCATTAAACAGAGTCGTCTGCGCAAGCCGCCCTTTCAAGTCAAGTTTTCAAAGCCGACAACGAGCGGTGAAAATCGAACGAGTCAGGCGGAAATCCGGCCATGGTAATTATAGAAATATATTACGCTACAGCAAAGGAGTGGTTTGATTGTCAAATGGTGTGTTAAGAACGATGCTAGATTTAGAACATAAGTTTAACAAAACATCAGAGAACGACAGTCCAAGAAATATATCGAAAACCATTTTTTAAACGTCTTCATTATAAAATATGCAAACTTAAATCTACTGTTATTATTATTCATGTTCGTACTACGATAATACTACAATTAAAAGCAGCGTTCTCAGAAATTTCATTAGATGTCTGTTTAATCTTCCTTTAACCCAATATGACTGACCAGCATTCGGCCCTTCTAAATCCAACAGCACATTCGACAAACTTTGTCGCAAACCGTACAATAATTCAGTTTTGTCATCGGGGAGAACAAACATTGGCTCTCACGAAAAGAAGACTTGTCTTCTATATAATAAGAACATTAACAATAATAGATCATATATTATAACGCTCGGCATTATGGATCATAGCAGGAAAGAGGTTCGAGTATTAGAAGAAAGGCTGAGCTGATGGGTATTCCAGTAAAGTACATCTTTACGCAGGCATAGCACGAATTGCTCCTTTACGCTGTGAAACACACTTTTTAGTGCGGGTAACAACCCATGATAGTGATTGTTTTACGAACGAAGATGGCCGCCGATGAGGCGGGTGTGAGTAGGTTTTCCGATCACTAAAGGAGCGAAGTCGATGAAACCTCGAAGTCACTCGGAGATGGGCTGTTCATAAGGCTTCACGGAACATGTTTTTCGTAAAGCAAAGCTTCTTGCTACTAACCATCAATCTAGGGCTAAATTGTAACGTACAGTTAAGTGTTGCAGCATTTCTGGTTAGATTTGGCATTGTTCGTTTTCGTTTGTAAAAAGAACAATTCGGAAAGCTTGCAACGATCCACTGTGATCAATATGGAAAAAGCCAAGCTTTCAGAGAACCCTGAATAATCCATTCAGATTCAATGAAGTGTATGATTAGTCTGATTGAAGTCAAAGACGGTGTAGGGAATGAAGTCAGAGTCACTGTATGATATTACTAGGCCCATTCTCGTGAATTATGATGAATAACTGATCGTAACCGATTGAAGTACACGTTGTATAAGAGAATCACAAGTTCCTATATTTCATTCACTTTTAATGTAGAAATTGGGTGATTAATCAAATATGCCTGACAGAACCTATGCAGACCCAGGGGACCGATTCTAACGGATAACTGGTCTACTCATCCATCTCTTTAAACTGGCCCACTGGATTCTACGCACAAGAAAGACTTGTCACCTAAAAATAATAACATTTACAAAAGATCGTCAAGAAAACGTACATTTTACGCGATCCATATGAAATCAAGCAGGCCGCGTTTTTTGTGAAAAGGTTATTACTCTCATGGTAGTATATTATATAGATAGAGGAGGAGATCGAGAAATACAAAAAAGGACGCCAGAAAATACATAAAGGAGAACAATTTTATACAAATACTCTTTGTGTTAACTTTTGTCCGTACGATTTTTCAGTCTAATAAACCTTTCGTTTTATTGCACTTTTATAAACTGAACGAACACTGTTTTAATAACCGTTATCATTATCGAGCCGCCGAATGGGGTAATTTCACAAGTCCAAAAAAGCAAGCTTCCGCTTACGTATATGGAATACTTCGTCAATTACCGCAATGCTGTTTTTGTCACGGTTGTCACGTCAACTAATGCGAAATAGAAAACGTAAGTAATTACCAACTGACAACATATGCACAACCATTTTAACATGTTAGCAACATATTATTTTTACCAAGATAATGGCACCGTCCAAGGCTTTGGTGCCCTTACTTTGCTATGGGTGAAGCTTTGTATCCCGTTTCCCCGCTGTCGTCGCCATACATAACAAATTTCAACATGATGGAGTCTATCTTTCCCTGTTCCATTCAAGCCATCCAGAGCGAAGAGGAAACCCAATTGTATGTATTTTGTGTTTGTTGCGCAACCTGACCAAAATGTATATCTATCTATTTAGACAGGTGGGCTAGAGGCATATTGGAAAGCCCCTGGTTACACGTGTCGTCCAAGTCACAATTCGCCAGTAGCGTCATTACCGCTGTTGAAATGGAGTAGAGCCTTCGCTGCAACCGGCTTGGACGAGCACTGCTTCGTATGAGCATCTAACTTGGTGGCATATCTGGTGGCGTTCAGTTCGCACGAACCGCGCGTATTATACCACATCACTGCGAGAAAAACGAGATATATATATCTATAGAGGGAGAGAGAGAGAGAGAGAGAGAGAGAGAGAGAGAGAGAGAGAGAGGAGAGTACAAGAACACTAGCACAACAAACGCCTTCCTTCTTGGCAACTCAACTTACATCAGTCGTATATCTCAATTACATATGTAAGCCGTCTGATGGTACGGCAAGCTGCGCCCAGACTGGTGGCGTACGAGAATACACTCGATAAGAATAAAATAAACAGGGAATACATTTGTATATGCATGTACATTGTATGCGAACTGCGTCTAGAGTGCGCATGACAGGAAGCATGCGCGAAGCAACACGAGCCGCCCACTTGGAGCAGAAGATGGAAGGACGGACATGACTTTCAGCCTGCCTTACCTGGCTGCCTCTGTGTGTCGCTGCACTCCGTTCTGAAGACTTTACATCTTGCGCTCTTGTTAGAAACCTCCGCAGGAGAAACTCCCTGTGCAAATCCTCGGAAATGTGTGCTTGCAGCGGCACTGGGCTACACACGGATACGCGTACAGTCGCCGATTCCAAGGTCGTTGGGATAAACGTCAGCTTCGACACAGCTTCATGACTCTGTTATAAAAATTTCATGCCGCCAACATTATTTCCGGAACAAGCTAATAATAGTATTCAGCCAGACAAGTGGCCATACGACAACTGCTGGCCTTTTTTTGACTTTCGACTTAAATACACTCACTAGGGCGAAATGGTATATACGTGGCACGTAGTGACCACCAGAGAGATCGAAAGAGCTTCTGGGGATAGGAACTCAGGGGAGACTGATTCCGGAATTTTATGCCCAGATTGAGATGGCTAAACACACTCAGTGCTAATTCCCCCTCGCCTGAGTGCCGTCCGGTCCTGAATTAGAAAGAGCGAGAAAGAGTGAAAAACGTGTAGGCTGGTACCGAAGACTGCTGATTACAAGGACGTCCTTCGGCGACAATTGTCGCTCCTGTGAAAGGAGAAACCCTTTAACAAAATGAATTGACAAAACGGTATTACAAAAAAGTCGGTGTGGCTCTGCGCTGTCGTCGTTGTGAGACCTCTCAGAAAAAGCCCGCTAGGCTAGCGGCCAGAAGAGGAAAGCAACTAACCGTGATTACCGTTGAGAGTAAAGGCTGATACGTGGATGGCGGATAGCAAAGACAGTTATATTGGGCAGCTAGTTAACTGGCGTTGATGACGGAACGAGTAATGATGGGGTACACGGGAATGCACTAGCAGGATGTGTATGGCGCGACGCCCATCTGGGAACTGTCTATGCAATATATACAGTGAAAAATTTCAAATGAATTATACAGATTTCATGCAATTATACAGCTGTTGAACTAGAGTAGAACCTGGCCAAAACCCACAAGTTGCACGTACACAGATATACGCACATGGAGAAGTCAGGGGAAGATACCAAATAGAACATGGCTAAGCAATTTATATGAATTAAGGAGCGTTTGCTAGTCACAACATGCCTCATAGATATGACGTCCTTTTCTTGCGATCGAAATCAAGACGTCTTTTTTTTTGAATACAATCAACCGTGGAGTCAGTATATCAATACATAGACCGGGGCTTGGGGGAACCAGTAAATTCCAGCATCAGGAGCCGTAACGATTAAATGGACATCGCTAACATAGTTCATTAGGAGGTGCAGGGTAGTGGTAATATAATTTAGTAGAGTAAATCTTCAGATCTAAATCGTTTAGCGCTATGCTTTACCCACTATGTTGTATACTGTGTTGTCGACTCTCATGAGCATCATGAGAGTATATGGCCAGTGTATTATAAGCTGGAGCAATGAAGCTTGAGGTAACAGAGGCGTGAAACCTCAAAAGATACGTTAGCTTGTTATATAGACAAGTACAAGGACAACCACAACCATGAAAGCAACGAAGGAACTGCTAAAAGAACAGCATGTCGGGAGTTATACAGGACTAGAGTGCCTAATCTATAGGGGGTGACAACCTAATTACTCCAATAATATGGAATACTTGCGTGGTAAGGGTGAGTCGGCCAAAGGTGCGGCTGAGGCAGAAACGACTCCGAGTGAACTGGGCGAGACGAAGTAAGGCACGCTTGGCGCGAGTGACGGCATTACTAAGCCCATATGACCTATAGTAGCGCGACAGCGAAATCCTAGCACAGCTTCAACTAGCCGATCGTAAAAAAAGGAAGAAGCAGCAGGCCTGAGCGGCATCGTCTCTGCATGTGCCGTCGGCTTTGTCGGCCAATGTGCGCCTGCAGAAGGACACGTTCTGCGGAACAGACACGCAGCAGACAAACGTATACATACAGCATCAAAAAATTATTTCAAGAATGTCTGTCTATTTTTAGTGTACTGGACCAGCAAACAAACACTGGCCCAACTTAACCTAACCTACCTAATATTCATGTAACCACTGGCAGTGCTACGAGATACCCCACAATAATGTGGGGGCGATCAGAAAAACAATATCACAGTATGAGGTTTTACGAAGGGTCAGTAGGGAGTGTGCCAGCACTGGAATGTATCCGAACGCGAAAGAAGCAAATAGAGGTGTACACGATCAGTTGCGATTGATACCGCCAGGGGGAATAATATGTGCTGAGGTTTAGTACAGAAATCTGTACGTGGCCTCCCGTTATTCAAACGGCTGATCTATCCCACTTCTGCAACCCACGACACATAAAAGCCGGAGAAAGAGGCTTACGTTACACCGGGTGGCAGCCACACACTCCTGGCGATTAAGCATAAAATAATAATATCATAATCCCACGCACGTACAGGTGCACAAGCAGTCCTACTGCTACCATAACTATATTCAACCCTCAAAAACTAGGCAGCAACCACGTCACTGGTCGGCCAACGATAGCAAAGCATAACAAAACATTGAATGGCCAATTTCACCTTCTACGTCCTTCTCGTCATTCATCCGGTTACGTTTCAATCGATAATTCGTATATGACCGCAAACAATACTTTGAAGTCGGAATACGTTCCATCGCCGGCCGTCCTTCTGCTGGCGTCCGGCTGTGATCAGCCCCGAAGCCTAGTTGATGGTATCGGGAGAACGGGTCAATCAATGAAAAGGAGTTATTGTAGGCAACACCACAGCAGACGGGTAGGACATGAGGAATCATGCATAACGCTCAACTGCGGAAGCTATTGTTATGTCGGCAGTTGTGACGACCAAAAAATGCCTGCTGTTCGCGTAGTCTCGCAGTACCTCATATGTTGAAGTAGTAAAGGATTTCGTGCAAACTGACGTAAGTCAACTTTGGACAATGTATGTATATATTAGCTTGTCGAAAAAGTGTTGACCCTTTTTTCTAGCTAGTTGGCTCTAACATCACATGTTTCAGTCAATACGGGTCGCGAAGGGTCGGCGGTGGTGTTAGTTAAAGTTTGAGGTTTGGCAATAGTAGATGTTATGAAATTATTACAATGCCATTATTCAGATGTGAGATAAAACGTTTTTGAGTAAATTTTTGCAAAATATAGCTACTGTATTCTGACAGACACACAAATATGAATACTGAATGGAAAATTATGATGTTTCTGCCTCTTAATCCGGATGTTGCATTATTATTTCTGTCAGCCGCTACAGAATTCTCTTCATTGTATTAAATTAGTTTCAAAATCACTTGTCGCTGTTTTCGATCTAAAACCGAAAAGGTCTTGTGCGAAGAGTGATAAGATTACGGGATTAGTAAAAAAAAAAAATGGCATAATGTCGCGATTAGAACGATGCATATTTGTTTTAGTTAGAAAAAATGCAAAATATATTTAGTTTTAGATATGAAAATGATTTGTTTCAATTTTGGTGTGAGAATGATTGATTTCTTTTCGACAATCCTAGCAAGAACCAGCAAGAGAGTGATACGTAAAATAAGTATTAACTCTGCAGTGAACTTTACTCCTTTCCGTATATAGAACTATGTTTGTGCTGCACCTAGTTTTGATGCTGTTGACGACATCTGAAACAAAAAAAAGGTTGATTAAAAATCTAATTTCCCTGTGTTGGGGCCTAACTAATAGCTAATCCCCACGTAAAAGGATGCAAATCCGTACCCGCGAACAGGCATTCGAACTGTTACGTGTCGAATAACCCAAGGCCTTCCCGATGCACAAAAAGCGCATATCCGAGATTTATCAAGCGTCTTCTAGAAACGCACCTTAGGTTCACTAGCAATTCTACCATAAACTTCCCTATTCTCCTGTTCCCTTAATACTCGAGCTCTGATATTAAAACAAAACAAATTAGGTAGTGCTTCACAATGATCGGACAGAGATATTTTACGAGCTCACTTGATCCCTTATTGAATTATCTTATTAGCGATTCAGGATGGTTGACGATTGATCAGGATACTCATAGGCATTTTGACTATTTTGTCAATTATTCGAGTGTGATATCCAGAGTTCGTTCGTTTGTTTGACTTTGTTTGTAATATACCTGTGTTCATCTATTCAATAGTAGTTGCGTTGGGTAACCAATAAACAACATGGGCTGATATTAACTTCGTCGTTTACACCAGATATCGAGAGTCAGCTAGCTCTATGCCAAAATTGCGCCTCCGTACCCCGTTCGAGATACGATACATGAATATCATACTTCACCGACGATTCAACGATTGGGTGACCGACAATAAGTTGGTTCGGCCGTCAAATTTTGAAGAAGCCCTGGACGTCGCAAACGAACAAAAAAATTGTATAGCAAAAGCACAAGTAAGCCTCCCGCTTGAAATCCATGGAAAGATTATAATTAATGCATGGAACAGAACACCTCGACTTAACGGTGCTTTTATGGCACGCTACATTATGCCTATCGGAATATACGTACGTAAACACAATAAAAAGTCGTTTAAAGTAAAGCGACGAGCATAGGCCACATAAGAATTCACGTTGCCAATGACAATTTGCCTTATATTCTATTCACAGCAGTATAATTCTGCAGTGTACTACTTGGGTTACACTTTGGTGCATGTACACCATAGAATAAAATCTCAGCAAAAGTCGAATTTGTGAATGTATACAATAGTTTACAGGTATTACGAAAGACTAGGGATCAGAAAAAGCCCACCCCATTCTCGAGATACATACACACGCACCAAAACGTCGTTACACCGATGGGGACAGCTATACATTTTAGCACACCCCTTATTGCACTGTTTTACCTTTATACTACGTTTTTGCTGGGCTCGTGTAGCATAGGTGTTATATAAGATACGTAAACCGCAGGACAGGGACGTCTCGCGAACTACCCATTTAACATCGAAAATACAGCGAATAGCTTGGTGCTCGGTTCGCGGCAAGAAATAGCAAAAGCAGGACGAAGAGAAGGACAGCGATAAAGAAACTGTCAGCTTTGTGCTTCGTCGCCCATCCCAGCTTAGCTACAAGGCCATTTTATGTCTTGGGACGCCTCTTGATAGTATCAACCCTCTTCTTATCTATTCTACATCTCTGTATCTGCCCAACTGCAGTCCTGTTGCTCTGCTTTGCTTTAAAAGCTGCGAAGTAGCAACGAAGCACGATACCACGATACAGCCCGAAGAGCGAAGGGCCCGCGCCGTAGATAAATGCTATGCCGCATATCTCAATATTACTCTTAGGCACTTTGTACCGGAAGACAGCTGCTTGTCAGTACCAGCTGACTATGTCCTATAGTTAGTAGGCTTCTGCAGCGACACGAGCAACCTAATCCGCCCGGACGATTGGCTGATCGACTATACTACATCCTGTAGACTCAACTAGGCCAATTGTAACCTACCGGGGTCCACATCAAGAAAGTTTTTTTCGCGCAAAGCCAACCCTGCAGTATCGTTCTATGTGACGCGGTTCCTTTGGCCGGTTCATCTGCTGCTGCTGCTGCTACATCTCCTACTGTTAAAGAGACAACGGTAATCACAACGACTTCACATCACAACTTCTGCTAAAAATACCAGCGCTACTGAAGGACTAGGCCATATCGTGCACGGCTGCTTTCCTGCCTTAGGCCTGTCCATCAGATCGGGATGGCCGCTGCCATGGAGATTTAGACGGCCATAAACCAGCCCAATGGATGGAATGTGTATCCTAAGTTCCTGAGAGTACGGCGATGAGCTAGCTTTATGTCTGAGTGTGTGTCTAAGTATGCTATATCAGTGCGTCTGTTTGTCGATTTGTGTGACTGTGTGCCGAAAAGAGTATTTCGGTATCGCAGGATTCATGTTATAATTATTGGCATTGCTATTACCGCGCATTGAGTCTATCGTATGTGAGTTGACTTCGCACGAACTGGCTGGCTGGCTGCTTGGTTTTACTTTGCGTGTTGACAGAGTTTGTCAAAGTATAGTGGGTTGTTCTTCCACTGAGACGAGGAGCGGCTGCGGCAGCGGCTCACAGCTATAAAACTGTGATGAGATATATTGAAGGTATATATACACTTGCGGGTTTTCCACCGCAACCCACCTAGCCCTCGACTTTTTCTCCATTTCCTCGACGCCGCGTGCTGGTCATGTACCGATCGATGGCCGTGAAGTTTCTTCAGTCGACATAGCCAGCGCGCTCCTAGGTATCTAGTAGTATTACTACTTGTGCAGGCTACTGCTCTCGCGAAATGTTTTCCCCTCTGTTGGCCAATAGGGAAACTAACATCTTTCGGGGTTGGGATTCAATGGGTGCAAGTCGATATAGGTGCACAAGTCCTCTTTTTATTTCTCCAAATTTTAGCTTTAGTACGGTCGAAAGACATGTATGAACAAGAAAGAGAAAATAAATGAAAAGCCTAAGACAATGCGTGGCCCCAATGTACCTTTTTCGGTCTCCATAAAACCTGCTGTATATATATTCATTGTTTCTTAATGTTCGATCATGCTGATTCACACATGATGGTGTTTGCTTGTGGCCAGGACAACCAAGCGGTAAATAGGGCTCGAATATAAGGGCTTCACTATTAGATCGGTTAATATCCCTTAGAGTAGAAAAGGGTAAAGTTCTCGATCACTAGAAATCGGCTGCTTCCAGCTTAAGCCTGGAACTAGTTCAGAGTAAAGGAGACTTTACTCACCTTCACTGCAAACCGAACAGAACGACGAAGGGGGCATAATAGCTTTAAGTCATAGAAGGAAACATCTCGCGGAAGCCACATTATGTCTCAGGTTCGCCTCAGATCTGTATTATACATCTCACACGTCCTGAAAACATTTATATTGACGTTGTGCTAGTCTTTGGCGGCTTCCGAGCCCGCATTCAACACTCACCATGCTAGTAATACGTACCAAAATGTTTTTTATTTTCTTTTTTTTTTTTTATCTACGAAGACTCAGCTAACACTCTGAAAAAGTCAATAGTAAGCCTAACGTTTCTTGCGTGATGCTTTTCAACCAATGTATTCAATAGACAATCTGATCCGCCCTGATTTTTGTTGCTAATCGAAAATAGACATGATATGCTACTTATATTCTAAATCGCATATTTGTTATTTCCCCGCTTCGGTATATTTCCCAACATATCGCAAATTCCGGTGCCCGCCCCAACGAGCTGACCCATTACTAGTCGAGCGGATGGTGAATTGAGTCGGTCCGAGAAACCTGCAAAATGTAAAATACAGAAGCACATATTTCATTACATTGAATCTTGTATAAAAATAGGTTTATATTCATTATTAATTATATCTTATATATTGATTATTAAAATTATTAATAAATATCGATTTACAGAGTCAGCTTTATTCAAGCAACATGGTAGCTGTTCGATGTGAGTCCACGTTGAAATCCGTCTCTCTCCATAACCCTGAATAGCGAAGCAAATCCAGCTTCAATCGAACGCTCATTATCGGTCTTATTCGAGAAAAGGTCTGCCGCTGTTATGCATAAACTAACAGCAATAGCAACAATTTAGCCAAAACAGAAAAACAAAGACAAAAGGTAGCATCTAGTCGAATGGCTTCTCTTAGTCCGCCAAGCGCTTATTCTGCGTCTTTCTCTTCAGGCTATTACCCAATGCCTATCAGTACGCTCGAACTTTCATTTGGTGCACTCTAGCATTATACACTGCTAGCACAGTTGCTTATCGAAAAAGATTGTCTTCATATCGTCAACAGCTGGACACACTGCTCTGGCGACTCGATTCACAAAAGGCCTGTTTAACATTACCTTGCCTCGTACGAAGCCGAAAATCGAATCGTCCACTTCTCCAAACAGATATCATCGTGGTGCTTACTACATCTTGCCCCCCATATTACGGGACAAGTTGGCTGAGGAAATCGGCGTCTGGTAACCACTCACGAACATCATCGCTTGATCATGACAGTGGTAAAAGCGGAAGTCACTCATTTAGTGGGTACTTACAAGAACGGTAGCTCATGAAAGAATGAGGCCTGAGCTCGTCAAGTCGTTAGCATGAGACATAGCTGAGCAACGATGGTGGCCACAGCGTCTTTATCTGGACGACTAAGCAAGCGGTGTGTACTAATGATTCAACGATTCATTAATAATATAGTCCAGTAAGGCGACCACCGAGCGTCGGATGGTTAAGGCCACTGTATCGACTGGACATCCAGCTTTTACAGATGTCAGGGAGAAACTACAATATACTATGCTCAATGGCGACAGCACGAGATAGCAATCATGACCCGCTACCTCGTTTTTGCCCTCAGCAGCCTCTTCTCATTTCATGGAACTGATTCAGATATGTTAAAAGCTTCTGGGATGCCTAAGGAGCGGAAATGGCTTGGTGACGCATCACTTCGGTTGTGCGTAAATCCATTTTAGTGCCTGTGGAAATTTGGTACTTGAAATCTTTGACCACTAATTAGTTTAATTTGAGTATGGACGCTAGCTGACAAACGAATGCCCCGTAATATCGCCAGTTAATAACGCTATCAATCCGTAGTATTATATAGCTCTGCGGAACTGGGTAAAAAGGTTCAAGCTATTCTGTTATTGTTAGTGTTCTCACAATCGACAAACATCTCTACTACAAACTACTCTAGAATATCTGTATTTAGTATTTCTCACCGACCGAGGAACACTAAATACTTAATAATCAAATACTATTCTTAAAAACCTAATCATATCGTAATAATTTCACCGTACCGTTTTTTATGCGTATTATCATCCAGCGTTAGAATTTTACCTACCCAGGCAACCGATTAGGGATCACCGGTACAACAAGATCAGCCTGTGAAAACGAAAACCGTCTGCGCCATTGCCTTCGCCTGACGGCAGCCGTGCAACCACCCAGGCGCGCCTTAGGTTGACCCATCGTTAGCAAAAGAAAACAATGGATCACAACCTATACAGTGCAGCAGCGAACTAAAGGTCACAAGGATTAGTAGGTCGGGTAAAAAAAGCTATAAGGACGTCTACCAATCACATAAGACGAAAAAACCTGTAGCCTAGAAGGGCATGCAGCAGGTGGTCAGAGGCTTCTTTCGGCCTAACTTTTTGTCGCAAACTGGGACCCGACCTCACTCGACTGCGGCGACTGCAACAACCCATAACTTGATGATGGCAGAAACCATCTGCGGACCATACATGGGCCGCTTCTTTCCTTGGCTGGGCCTGTCCTTTTAAGGCCACTCCGCAATTTCCCTATCCAAAAGGTTGTCTAACTGGAGTAGACATCGTTGGATGCATAATCGGTGCGATGTCCACTCAACATTAGTTATCATGCACGTCCGTATGGAGCATGTTGAAATTGGTTATTTTATTTCACGTCTAATCTACGGTATTATCCGGTATAAAGATTACGCACTACGTTCTCATACAGACGTAAATAGATGTGTGTGCATATGTATAATAATAGTCGTAATAATTATATCCGAGAATTATGACGACCATTACTACATAGAAGTATTGCGAGATTAAACGCCGAAGTCTCAATAACCAGTTCGGGAGCAAAACATGATTTTGTCTCATACCGATTCTTTGAAGTTAACGAGTTTCTTGTGCGTTACGAAAATAGACATCATTTAGTGGACCGCTCTTGTTAAGCTAATTGACAACCTCAGATCCTATTAATAATAACAGTAAGAACAGTACCTAATAGTAACAAAAAGAACAATATTAAAATAATAAGGCAAATGAGCTCGTAAGTAGCGCAGATGCGGTTCATACATTTCTTTCAATATGTTTTGCGACGAAGGGTAAAATAGGATCGACATCTGATAATCGCGTACCGTTATCAAAAAATGTATTCCGTATAGCACTGCGTAGTAAACAGTTCAATGGTCGTCATTTACCGCGATGAGACTGTCAACACGAGAGCCGTCTGTCCTCGTGAGGGAACAAGCTGTACGTTATATATTCATGGAATTCGTACCTCCCGTGCAAGTATTCATGTACGCCCCTGATTTATAATGGCCTGTCTAACTCATTAACGCCAAAGATGCGCATCCATTCAAGGTTATCCGGCTTTGTAATGACCATGCAATATTGTACACCTCAAGGGTAGCATTTGCTAAGACCGCTCTGGCCTGTTATTAAGCGACGTTACTGAGTAGCAGAAAACTACTAATGGTTAGTGTGTCCTTATGGGGAATTGGCACGAAAATACTGCGCGCACACAAACAAGGCCACTTGGGTGACACGGATGATATAACAGATCCCTTTTTCTTTCTCAGTCCTTGCAACCTCAAGCGAATCAACATACTCGAGCGGGAAAATCACAGAGAAGCATAGCGCAGCTAAGTAACTTAGTACCGAGTACTGAGTAGGAACACCGCCGCATCAAATTAGAAAAGTTTACTTGGGTTTACCTCTCGTATGGTAAATCAGCGTGCCTCACGAGCTCCAACCAAGTACCATACAACTAGTTGGTAGTAACTAACAATCATACCACTAATTGCTGTGATTTATGTTGAGCTCTTGAAACGGGTAAAAAATGAAATTAAATCGAAACTTCACAAAAGTTTATGTTCTTAAATGATGATAATAACACCTAACAAACATCGCTTATCACCGAAGAATGCTTACTGAATAAGCACCGCCCAACACGCAGCGATGTACAATGGTATAACGCGTTTGCTATGTATTTGCTTTCCTAGAACTAAGTCTCTTGTATGAAGACATATAGGGTCGCTGTTTGGAGTTACTTTCAACGCCGTAATTAATGATCGTACCAGGCACTAAAAACAGAAACACTATTAGCATGGCAAAGATTGTCTTCGTATCTGTCTTAGGGGATTTCGTACCAAATAAAGCAGCGTTTTTCATAAATGTGCACGTCGTTTCAAAGCTCATCTGCTGGAGTGGCGATGCATTGTTTGCCATGTGGATTCTGTTGAAGGCGCGGTAAGCTCCGTCGAAAGTCATGTAGTCCCCTACCAGACTTAGATGTCTTGGATCCACTTTGATGCCGTACACGGCGAACACGGATGTCACCTCCTACACAAAACCAAAAGTACGATATTGGCACATTGGGTTAAGTGGGTTAGATTTAACAGTGCTTTCCAAATTGTTGCGAATCTTCGTGCTTAGTGTCGATTTTGCATGTTTAGGCTTTAATTAAGGAAAAAAGGCATGGTCAGTAATAACGTTTTCTGTAAGAACTTTGGGATTTATGGAATATATAGGAAAAGCCAAATTATTTACAATTAGGAGTACTTAAGACGAGAATACTTCGCAGAAAGCGATTTTACTTTTATTTTTACTAGCTTAAGGGCACCACTTCAACAAGAGACGTAAATTCTTACAGAAAAACTGAATATCTTGATAGAAAATACTTTGTTTATCCATAGGTTATCTTCCTTTAATATTCTCGTGGTAGCGCGACGATAATGTGTTCTCTACTAAATTTAGGGACAGGAGAGGTGGTCTAGGTTCGAATCTTCGCGTAGATATGCTTTGTTTCGTGCTAGCAGTCACTTGTATGAAGCAAGGCCTGACCACTTAAATATCGAACATAATATCAAAATATTTCATTAGCTCTCTTTAAACATTCCTGGGTGAACCCATCGATACAAGACGACACACTTTGAGTGCTCAAGAATATATGTATTTTCATTTAAAAGACAATTCTGAGTTTTGGGATGCAAATAACAATTTCGAGCATGAGACAACATTTGAGTCTTTGACCTCAGATAGAGAATCCGCTAAAGCCCTATACAATACTTGTTGAACTTTTCTCAAAGACTTTCCAAACTTACCTAATGTCTGCTAGCAGGAATCTTCCCAAGGGCATAACCTATCACGGTAACTCACTATGGTACTGTTACCGATTTAAATCTACAAAAATTTTTTTCCGCAGTAACTCTCTCTTTTCGCACCGCTACCCGGCCTTTAACGCCTCATCCTTAGCAAACAGTGACCGCTTATTTATCACTCTGTTCGTTATAACATACACTAAGGACAAAAAAGCTCCTTTTGAAGAAAAACGTTCTTACTAGATTCACCCTCTCCCTGGTTTTTCATCTTTCGACCTTATGGCCTCTTCAGTGATCGGTAAGCCAAACCAGTTGAGGAAAGCTCACATTCTAGTGTCTGTAAATGCACCAGCCGTCTGCTGCCGTTCGAACGCTGCTATGAAATCAGCCTCAAGAAAGGCCCCTTTAAGCGACTTTTCTAGCTTCCCGAAATCCTTTTTGTCTTCTCATAATCCAGGCCGGTTTCCGGGGGTTTAGCCAACGAGGCGGACTTTTCTGCTAAGGGAAGGCCGCCTTGATTATCGACCATTAATAATATGCAAACTTGTTCAGTAATCCGTGGTCTGCGAGCGACCCTAGCGTTGCCCTGCCATGCATTGCTTCGTTGCTATTCCCAATGAGACTGGCCGATCCTCAACAAGTTTATCAAGCTAACAAAATCTGCCGTTTGACCGTTTTCGCTAGCATTTCATTTAAAGTTATACACCTCAATTACAGTTAGCCAGAGGGGATGAAGAGCAGAACGCGCACGCCGGCGATCATTTATAAATACACAACTAACCATGTTTTATTGTAATCGCATGATTATATATGTATATGCGCATAAGATCAACTGCGCGCATAAATCGTACAAAGCCCTTCTAATGGCAAAAGAGGGCGTTCAAATGAAAGCCAACGAGATAAACATGTTTCCCTACGATACAACGACTCTAATGAAATCTACAAAAAAAAAACTGCTGCAAGAAAGTCCACCTATAAAAAAAAGTCTAGTGGCTTTTACAAATGAATCGCACTTTATCCACTTAAAAAGATCACACGTTCAAGTTGCTGTTAATTTATACTGTCTAATCAGTGTTCATATCTGGTATACAATTCTGTCAATTTTTGTTGCTACGTGATCAAGTCTCTTGGATAGCGATTTAACCATTTACGTACACGCAATAAATCAGGTATAATTCAATATAGTAAAGAAAAGCCTGAATTCTTTTTTAAGCTCTCCAGGCATTAATGTGTTTTTCCGCTGTTCTTATAGCAGATCAATACACTAGGTAAGAAGTAAATTATATGTAGTTATATTATAAAAGTAAACCGATGAGACAAACTGTCCAGTTCATGTATTCTCCAAGCTACCTTATTTTCGAAAAATAACTAATTACTGTACAACGAAGGTTGCAATGATACATACACATTGTGCTGTTCGCCACACTGGGTCCGTCGTCTCACTGCTCCACCTTGTTGCAAAAGTCAATATTAGTTAAAGTGAAACCATTACAATGACGAACCTTCTCTGTTCCCTCTACTCCCTCCGCAGGAACAACATCAAGATCAACAACAACAGCGGACGAAGTCATTGTAGAAAACGTGACTAACCAAGCAATTGTAGGGATTAGCATAGCTTTACAATTTCCAACAAAGGAAACATGGGGTATGGAGACTTAGACGCCGACCAAGCTTCACGTATACTTCATCCCTTTTCCATATTGTGCTATCATCACAAGACAGACGCCTTAAACGAGGGCCGTAGAAGCAATCAGTCACAACCAAAACAACTATTAACATACAGGATTATTTCTATAGTTCCTATGGCTGTGTCGAATGTCGAGATTAGAAAGGAGAACTAAATGGTTGGTACAGTATTGTGCATCCGTTACGAGCGCTTACAAGACTTATTTGCTAAACATTTTGGTTAGACCTCTTTCAAATAATTTGAATACAATTCGCAAGCACAACATTAGTAAAAAGTACGGGTTATATAAAAAAAAAATTGTAATCTTTTTGGCACTGTACAGAGCATCTGGTAACAAATCGATTTGTTAACTTTCTTGGCCAATGGCAACAAGCCTAAGTTTACCCTTGCAAAGTTTTTTCGTTCTTTAAAACCTGTTTTGTACAGCAATATGGGATTACTGAGTTCCGTTTGCTGTCTTAGCACACTTTTAATCAATACATAGAGATCTGAAAGCGAAACCTAAACTAAGATCAGCTTCAGAGAGGTCAATTTCTTTTATTCAAGTTTGGATAAAGGTCACGAATCATTATTTACTTAGCATATGGATAGGGTGCATTCCTAGTTTATTTAAATACCACTTAATAAGAATCTGCACAAAAAGGGTTAATTATTCAATTTAAATGACTCTGCGTATAACGTTGAGAATCTTGGGTTGTGAACAAGTTTGTTAGTCGGCCGAAGAGCTAATAGGCTCTACGGGAGTCGCACGAGACGCCACATAATAGGAACAAGAAATATACTAATGATTGTACTCGGCATATGTTAGCAGTACTATGAAAACAATGCGATGAATACTCTGACAAACAGTCGCATCCAGAAAATACGTTCTTTACTTCCCAGCATCGCTGGTCGGCATACTTTTGCTTTTAGCGAAGCAAGCAAGGTTGGTATCTTTTATGCAAACAGCTGAGAACGGAAAAGTACATTGTCTGAATAAGTTGGCCAGATTAGTTCACGAGAAACACTTGTGGTGTATTATTTTTAAGACCCGGGCGTTACAAGTCCCAAGTCTTCATCCCTTTTCTCCATATACACCCTAAAATCCACTAGCACGATATTCTATCGAGAGGGCAGCACCATTTAGTTAAAAGCGCGGCGTAGTGCGTGTGCACGCTTTCCCTTAACCCCAACGAGTTCTACGCGACAATCTGAGCATAGCAAACGTAGCTCCTACTTTACTTGTATTACCACCACATCATTTTAGAGTAGATGACCTCTTCCAAGTTTTTTCGAAACATCGCCCCCTGCGCTTTTTCATCTCTACCCTTACTACGCCCCTTACCTCGTCGGCTGTTTACCGAACTGGATTGAAAAAGTATCCACATTTCTCGTTTTTCAGGAAAAATGAAGACCCAACGAGAGGGAACATCTTTGGCTTCACAGGCCGGTGGATCACCGGAGAAAATGTGCCGTCACGCTTCGTCTGTATGGTTCGGCCAAGGCGAAATAACCCGCGAGGATGTTTCCCTTCAAAGTGCAGGGGCTTTTTTCGAACACACCCTCGAATACACGGACATATAAGGTAATATGGGGACACATGCATACCCAGGCTGGCGCACCATCTGAACAACCTACTAGTAGTGAGAGCTATTTACAATCTGGATAAACTGACATTCATTTGGGGAAGCAGTTGTTTGATTAAAGGCGGGAGCTTTAAGGCGCACCTTTGTCGGTCTCAAAGTCGACATACATACGTATATATATAAATATATATATGCTTTCCTTTATATTTTTGAAGTCGAAGTCATTTCGGTTTGTACTACTACTAAATTGAATAAGTTGAATTATTCAATTTATTACAATTTTCCATTTAAAAGAGAAGACACGAAAAATTTACTGCGACCCAAAATAATCCTAGTCTACCTCATACACGCACCATTGGTAACAAAAAAACGATCTATCGTAAAAATGCGTATTTAACGAAAAAAAAAAGAAAATGAAAAGTCGCATAGACCAAAGTGTTAATAACAATTAAATTTGCTTCTGCTCACCCGAACGATTGCTTTTGTCGCAGCCTCAATCCCAAACACTTGTGATATTGCGTAGATGTCGTTCGAGCTAATGCGTTTCATGTCGATTATATCATCATACTTGAACATCTCTTCGAAGTTGACACCTTCCGTCTGGAGCATTTTGCCGCAACCCGATCTGGAGTATTAGTAACAAAGAAGCAACAAAAAAAACAAAGTGTTAAGAATAGCTCGAAAGTGAAAGTGAATACAATTGGTAATCTACACCTTCAATTTGTGTTTATTCAGCTAACATTAATTTCATTACATACAGGGTTTTCTTAGATGCATAAGCTACCAACAGTCTTTGTATCAGAACCAACCTGTCATCATTGTCCTTCACGAGGAAAGCTCTCTGAATACCCTTTACCGAATGTAGCACCGTCGCTCTGGCCTCCTCTTCAACCAAACTAGCCATATCAAACTTCGAATATTGTAGTTCCAGTTGGAAGGTCAACTCACACCATTCTTCACGCTCCGTGTCGAAGTCGTAATTTGTTACCCACGTGTGGTAATTGATTACGTTCTGGAATTTAAAAAATGAAACATGTCAATGGAGCTAAGGCTGGGTGACCACAGAAAAAGTGAAGTTCGCACTAGAAGATTACTAAATGTTATTGTAGTTCCAGGCCCAATAGTTGCATGAACCAGGTTGTAGGCTACTAATCTCAGGTGCGCAGATACATTTCCTTAGCTCAATCACTCCAGTTTCATCAAGTTCGTTCAACACGAGCACCTTCACCGGATTCTCGCTAATCAACATCCGTTTATCAGGATTGTGTCGCATTACAGGTCTTTTAAATGCGAAGTTTCCTATGTAGTCTATTAATTTCGACAAAAATCATCATTCATAGAAGAAGCATTTAGAAAACGAAGACATACGTTAGCACGCAATTTCTTTTGAGCTTTCAGCTCCTTCGTTTTGATTCTTTTCGCTAACTCTTGAGCTCTCGTCGTGTCCATCTCGCTCTCAGATGTTTGCGGATCGCGAGGACGCAGTTCTTCCGCCGTTGGGGCAAACTGTTCCTCATCAATTTCGCCATTATCTGTATTGCAGATATTAGACAAGATGTAAAAAAACAGCGTTATCATGAAGCTATCAGACAACAAAATTATTTTAATTTCGATTTCTCATCTTCGCCGCCAAATCGATTCGAACTTTTTTGATATTATCCGCACATGTGTCGACATGTATTCGTAGTTACCGGACTCAATGTAATTACCATCGCGTTTGCGCCCCTAACCTCATCAAAAATTCAATGCATTTTGCTATTGCGAATTAGATCATTCATCAGTTTGCCAGACAATGGAGCCGGTTCTTGTAAATAACTGACTTCAAAAAATGTCGCTCGCGCCAGCAGCTTCTAATACTCACCATCTTCATCATCTGATTTTTGATACTCTTCGATTTCAGGCTCGTCGTAGTCTCGATCGTCTTCGTGTTTCTCCCGTTGAAATTCGATGTTAGTCTCGCCCTCACCACCTTCGTCATCACCAGAAGAGTCGCCGTCATCTTCTTCGTTTAGGTTTATACGGCTGCTACCCTACAATACAAACGGAACCTCAGTGTAAATTTACAAGACAACAACAACGAACAAGTTTCGCGTACGTCTAAACTCCTTCAAGTGGTTTTAAATATTTTTTGGCCGTTTCTCAGCATCGAGTGCCTCACAACCTTTGATTCTGGAGTCTCTCTAGGCTCCACAAGCCGCGGGGTGCGCGCGCTGGGCCTCGCAGTTACGCCGTCTGCGCGTGGCTTGCTTATTGAATCGTGCAGACAGTGTGCCTACTAGGTATATAAACATATATAGTCCTCTCTAAACAGACGAATGAGACAGGCTACTGTCACATTCCCAAGATCATGACGATTAGCTTGTAGCGTCAATGTAGCCAAACTCACAACGATGAACCACTGCGTTCAGCATTTGTCATTTAAGAAGGTTATGTGTGAAAAATACATGTTAACAAATACGCACATTACCCTAAATTTTTGTAAAAAGGCTGCTACGGGCGCAAGGCGGTTAAATTTTTTAAACGCATATTATTTAAACGTAACAAATTTATCTTTTTTTTCGTTGAAACTTGGCTGAAACGAATAAATACGTCGTGGTTAGGTACAGAATATGACATTACCTCATCTTGATTATCATCCATTGTAGTATTCCCACGGGTGGACCTTGATCCGATTTCAACCATGCGAGCTCCTTTAACCAGGGTAATTTTTTTTCTAACACTTTCAATAAACCTTTTCAGGAACTTCGTCTCCATGAAACGCAGTACCTTTGACGGATTCGTGTAAAGCGTCTTTTTGTAGGTACGATACGGCAAAAAATTGAAGCGTATTTGATATACGCGAAAGGGTCGCCCGGACGCCGAAACATTCAGCCGATCAGTGACCACCACCGACTCAATTACTTGAGCTAAATTCACCTACAAATTAAAGCAAAGTAGATATAAATTAAGACCAATGACCAGGCTTGTAATCAAAGTTAAAAACACATAGCATATGTACTATAATATGACAGTCGAAGCAGCTCTCAAAGAAGTCAAAATTTTTACAGTGGGATTATGCAACATTTTTCTTATAACGGGACTTAGTGATCATTCTGATCTGATTACGCATCATAATCTTGATCCAAAACACAAACTCTAACCATCTTAACAATGGGGAATAGTAGCACGTGCATTGCTGTAAGATTATCTAAAATAATAAGATAAAAAAATAATAATTATAATTAACTGATAAATACATCACACATACGCTAAAATATGGACTTCCGGAGAAACGCACAAGTTACAAACTAGATATAGCATCAACCCAACCTGAGAAATGCCTAGCCGGAGTTTTTCTGCTCGGGATTCGACAAGCGGCACTTTCTTAAGTGGCAGGTTCATTGACGGGGTCGCAATGTTCTTTGAGGCGACCATTAAAATTTCTCTCAAACGCGGAATTCCTAGTGTGACGTTCATTTCACCACGACCAGCAAAGTGAAACGTATTCAGCGTCATCTGGGTCGAAGGCTCACCTATACTCTGTAAATGAATTGTAAATTTCGTATATTATCGGTAATTCTATCAAATATAATACTGACGGCACGAGCTATGTATGCACGCTAGTTGAACATCAGGCTTAAGCTAGGCAGTATATATATCATAATCGCATGTACATAGAAAAAGTTAACATGTTAAGGGTTCGCAGCAAACAATTCCAGTATAATCACTACCTTGCCAACCCTTGAAGCTGCGGTCTAACCACTGACAACGCTAGACTGAATACCACACAGGATGATAAGCAGTAGGTAAAAACTTGAGGCTTATACAATACAAATTTAAATTAGAGAAAGCAAAATGAAGTGAAAGCATACGACATTGCAATTGTTCAAACCGTATCTGTCCGAATCAGCAATGTTTTTTCTTGATTCGGTCATCAGAGCTCAGTTTAATGTGCGACACCACAGTGGTGCCGGGCCGATGCTTGCTTAGCCACGGCAAGTATCTTGGATCGCTTCATAGAAAAGAACGTATAATCGATATTTCAATAGCATTAACGAGTAATAGGAGATTTAAATCGATATCGACACCAATCATGTGACCACCACATTTTTAGTAGGAATAAAGCTAAGTTGTTTTGAGAGTAATTTATATTAACAAAAGTATATTAATTACTCACATAATCTTATGTATATCAATATTACGTTTATAAGAAATGATCTCCCGTATAAGTGAAATAATGATATGTTTACTAGTGGATGCCACGGTTTACCTGAGCAGCTAGAAGCCCAACTGGTTCACCGGCGCAAGCTAGTGACTTTTGATAAATCAAATGCATCATGTCTCTAAAATCCTCGGGACTCACAACCTTTTTCTCATTAAGGTCACATCCGGACGACAGAATGAGTCTGTCAGGATTCGCTTCGACGTACCGATCGATCTATTGTCATGCGCAATATAGAAAAAATCACAAATTTCATTAATTGCATTTAAAACCAGACAAAATATTCGTATAATTACACACAGCCGAAGTGTATATGCTATGTTAAGGCACAAATCAATCTGTAACTCGATTACCGAGACATCAATCATATTAGCTATTATTCTGACTACTATCTATTCGTCAGTTTACATTAATCCATCTATAAATCCGTGGCTGGACGATCTGTTTGGACATGTACAGAAGAGGGTTAGGTAAATGATTAATAGGGAATTAAAAAAAATTTAGTTCCATTTTTAAAAAGACGTGCACAAATAACAGGAAAAAACTATCTTTGTTTCGGATTTACACCAAATTGTCTTGAGATACTTATCAAATACGTAATGTCTAAATAGAACACGCCATTCCGCGGATTTTTCATCACTTTTTTTTTCGTCAATTCCCGTCTATATCTTTATGTATAAAAACACTGCGGTATCATTGTGAGATAATGTGTACGAGTAAATGTCAGTAAGTATACAATAAGATTTACAGACAAAAACAGAAGTCAATAAAGTATTCCACATAATAAAGCTTCGAGTACCTCTGAGCTTAGCTTTTCTCCGATGGCGCCGAGATGCAAATCGGGACGTAGCTTGCTCGTCACAGTGTCGGCGGAAAGTATCACCTAATTGATAGAAAATCCAAATTGGAAAATCATATAGACATATGCAAACCAGTATTATTCACGTGTTTTAAGGAAAGTGACCTTTCCTCTAATCAAAATTACCGAGGCAATTTGAGAAGACATAAAAAAATCCAGAAAAAGACAGACCCGATAACAAGAATCATGCATAACCTGAAAATGTTTTCAAAATAGCGGAACCATTTAGTAAAGTAAAACGCATACTACTTAGAAGAAGGGCGACCTACATTTAACATGTAATGATTTTTGTCAGTCAGCAGGCGGTGCATTTGATACTACCCAAGTGCAGCACGCGCTGGAACAAACTAGGAATTTGACACGCAAAAGCAGGTTCGTGCCTAATGATGATAAAATCTAGATACTAATAAAAGCATTTAAATAGAAGGAGACTAAACTCGTAATTAACGATAGAAAGATAATTTGTTATTCTATAACAAAACTATTTTGAAAAAGCGGCACTTCGATCAAAGTCCCACAAACCTGTTTGCGCAGCCGGCGCCTATCGCGCTCATTGAGCTCGTAGAAAGCTTTGATTAGCCGCGCTTTATAAGCCGGCTGCCGACTTCCCGGATTGGTATCCGGATAGGCAGCTTTATATTCTGCCTCGTTTTGCTGACAAAATATCGTGAATTCGCTCTCACGTCGTCGACCTTTTGCAATCTTTCTATGGAAGCGAGCTACCTTAAAATATTCAGATTATATCCAAATCCGTGTAAGCAAAATCAGTGAAATAATTATACATTTAAATCATAGTAGATTTAGATTTTACAATATCATCTTTCGTAAAAAAATTAATCATATCCATTTTGAGAAATAGGAAGAGTAATCTTTTTTTAGAGTTTTATGTTCGTACTCCTTCAAGCACGATTAGAAAAAAAGGAAAAGAAGCATGAAAAACGCCATACTCTAGCATTCATCTTTCCAAGAAGCTCAAGGTTCGTAACACTTTTCGTCTGTTCAATGTGGTCCATATCCGTCAAAATTGGAGCATTTCGTATCAAAGTTGAGAACTGCTTTGGGCTCTGTATCATCTGCATTTTGAGAATATCGAGACCATCCTCGCCATATTGGAACTGGATTACGGAACCATCGGAGTCTCTAACCGTCTGATCGTAGTTCACCATCAGACCTTCTAGATGTTTAATGAGGCATCTAAACACAAAACAAATGAAAAGTACCTTTAATTAAGCAATGATTTCGTTATATCGTTACATCAACCTCAAATGTGCCAAACAACTGATTACAACTCTCAGAGTACTCTAGTCATTAGCACACCATGTAACTATTATGTTGGAAAAGCCAAACTAGTTTTCTTCGGAACACTCAGTCTGTGAAAAATGTATACCATTTCTACGGTATTATTTACACATACAAATATTGAAAATATGACTAGTGTCCATGTATGTCCAGTAAAAATGAAAAAAAAAACGAGGTTTGTATCTTATAATTCAGCTCATGCAACCTTTGCAAATATCCCGATCGACTAGTCTTGACAGCTGTGTCAACTAATCCTTCGCGACCAGCCATACAATGGAAAAAGAATTCCTGCGGACGGATTCCCGTTAAGAAGCGTCCGTCGATAAAACCGCCTGCACGGGGAGCTGGATCATACGGCCGAAATGACGGGAGTGAGCGTCCTGCTATATTTAATGGCACTCTCCGACCTTCAAGTTCGATCTGGCCAAGCAGGCACGAGATTTGCATGCAGTTCACCATGCCACCTTTGGCCCCGGACTGGACCATTAATTGGAGGTTGTTAGCAGGGAATGCTTGTTGCAAGCCAGCAGGCATACAGGCCCTGTAACAATCAATTTTATCTCAAATAGTAAACTTTATTTTTTTTTCCTTTTTTTTCTTCACTTCTGTTTCTTCGACAATAACCTACATTTACTAGATTTTTTAGCATACATACCAGTAGCAATTTCTGTCGTTCTGTGTCAGCCCTGTGGGTGCCACATTGAACTTGTCTTCGGTCTCAGTTTGACGGAAACAAATACTTTACATAGAATGGAATCAAATTTGACTACAAACAAAATTTTTTGTTGTAGGAGAAATCGGTCTGAAATGTTAAAGGTCGACTATCATGAGCATAACCAAAAAAAGGTATAGTGGAAAACATGTTTAGATTAAAGAACATTATAATTCTGCCTTTAAAGGAAACTCACGTGGCACTAAACAATCGGTATTAGTACGACTACGACTAAAACCCTTGCTTTTGCAGTGTAATGGATCTACGCATTTATCAAAGTCCTTTAGTAAATGATAATAATAGTAATCGCTTGACGTGCAAATGAACAACAGAGCAGTATAAAGGTAAATAGGGCCTTAGAAGTTCCTAATTGTTGCTTCTTGAAGCTTGTACACACTTGTTTATTTCGTTGTTGATTGAGTCTGTGTGATTTTTCATTACAGTGTCCCAGTTCTTGAGAAAACGATCTTCTCTCGCCAAGTGGCCGGCCCGCATCTTGGCTGTTCTTTCTTCATCGGTTAGTTCTTCATCCTGGGCGTTTAAAGCTTCTAGGACAACTTTATCACCCCCCCGACGACCTCTCCGCATAATCTTGCGACGCTTACGGTCGGCCTGTGAGAGTTCAATAGTTAATGAAAAATAACCAAGCGCTAAAAATATTTATCAAAATATGGGGGTATTTAAGTTCTGAAGCATACAATAATTCGTGAACTGAGGAAAAACTAAGAATGTAAAATAGAAATGCCCCTGCAGAAAAATAAACTGTGTTCAAATACGGATTTTCTATCAAAACCCCACATGACACCAGCGCCTTCTTTTTCTTTATAAATGATGGGCTAATTATAGTCCGCAATGTGTGCGATGCGTACCCACCTCCTCTGTAACCAAGATGTCATGAATACCAAGAGTAAATCCGTGAAATGCCTGTAGGTAATGTGTGAACAGTCTGGCGAAACCGCTCAAAAGAAGCGAAGACGTTTCGCCTCCATAGAGTTCGTAGCAGATGTGCACAAGTCCGTATTGGCTAGGACCGTAATGAGCCTTGTCCAAAATACCTGATAATAACTCGCCATCGCGGATCAACACCAGATCTTCGGTTAGCGTCGGGTCGAGAATCTTACCCGTTCGGGGCCACGCCTTAACTGGTACTGTCGTTTTTCCGTAAACTGTCGGGGGCGGGGCATTTAATGGACAGCAATTCAAAATCACGGTGGACACAACCTGCTTGCCAGTCCATAGCATCACCGGCTTCAGAATAGTAGGCGAAAGAATCTCGATCTTCCGATTGAGGAAAGTAAGTGCATTGAAAACGAGGCTCTGGTAATCATTACGCGTAAAAAACTTGTCCTGCATCGTTAGCAATGTTCCACCTATGACATGATCCTGGATTAAACCCGACAGAGGAGCACCGTTTTTCGGCACAAGGTACTGCTGGTTAACACTGGCAATGTGACAGGCCTCGGATCTGCCCAATTCGCTCTGCGGAAGATGAGCATTCATTTCATCGCCGTCAAAATCGGCGTTATATGACTTACAGTTAGCATAGTGCAATCGTAAAGTTTTTTCATCCCGGAGTATTCTTGCTTTGTGCGCCATAATCGAAGGTTTGTGCAGGGTCGGTTGTCGGTTGACCAACAAAGGATCGCCACTTTGCAGATGCCGATGAACAATCTTGGTAGCATTTCTTAATGTTCCATCAGGATTCGGAGTCAATAGCGTTTTGGCTACAGCTTCACGTTTCGTTCGTGAAGATGTATCTAACCGCATTTTTCGTCCGTCTTCAAACTCTACCAGAAGAGCACCGGGGTAAATGTCAGGTCCATTAATGACGGCTTGTCGGAGCTGTTCAACGTTACGTGGAGTCACTGGAACGGGATACGAAAGGCGTGTAGCAAACACCATCGGAACACCAATTTCGTCTACGTTTATGTATGGGTCTGGCGAGATGACTGAACGTGCGGCAAAATTCACACGCTTGCCCATCATGTGTTTTCGCACTAATCCTGCCTTCTTCTCTAACACCTATATTCGAGACAACCAAAAAACGAGTAAACAAAAAATTGTTTTTTTTGAGCCACTTTTTTTGAACTTTTTAGCTTTAGTGGCTAATATCCGTTTACTTACACGGTTCTATTTATCCATATTTACAGCACAAAGATTAAGCTAATTTTGGGCATGAAATAATTTCTATATCGTAAAGAAATTATTACTTTTAGACATCAAAAAAAGTAGCGTAAAATGCTTTATCACAAAAAAACTTGAGTCATTGATTTCATTAGTATAAGAGTTGTTTCAGTACATAAATGGACGAAATATATGGTATGAATGCGTTCGAATGAAGCGAATATGTGAAGATTTATCGAACCCGTGTAGTTAGAGAATACAGTTGTATAATACCTGCTTGACACCAGCGCGTTCTTTAGTGTTTCGATCGAGATCTGAATCGTAAAGGACATTGATTCGCATCTGCAGCAATTTCCAGTAATGGTGCATTTTTAAATTGAGGTTTGTTCCCGCCGGCTCCAGTGCGTTAACGTTCATCTAAAATAGCGATGTTTATAACAATAGTCATTATTTCGAGTAATACAAATCTTACATGATCTGTACTTGTTTTACAAAATGGCACCTGATTGCAGGCGACATATTATCTTACATGAAAGAGCTCACATACTCTGATTCTAATGTGTTTCCCCTGTAAATCAAATCGGTCAGATATACAAAAAGGAGGCCGATGATTCTCGAGATCATATATATATGTATATGAGTGGGGCGCTGAAAACCAAACATTTCGTTTTAAACCAAACAATTTATGGCAGTTTTCCGTTCACTTTGTATTCTTAAAATTGGAAAAACGATCTTTAGTGGAACAAAGCAGCATCCTGGTGAAAAATAGTGCGTTGTTTTCAAAATTTGGGCGAAAATTAATGTGTTCATGCAGGACAAGCCCCATAAAAAAACATCTTTTGCTAAAAATCGACAGTCTTCATTATTGTCGGTTTTCATGCAGCTTATAAAAAAAGCCAATAGATATTTTCAAGAAACAAACCAGAATATCCTCAGTAAAGATCAATTTCGAGGGCTCAAAAACTCAAAATCAACGACCTAACGAGTCAGTATGCCTGGATCTGTTATATAAAAATCAGAAGCCGCTTTGAAGAGCAGAATTCCAATTTTTAATTGGATCATTTAGATATATTCCAACGGTTAATTCTTTTGAGGCCTTGTATGCTCTTTTAGGCCTTGTATTTCTGCAACTTCGGTCTTCTATCAACCCAAAATTTAATTATACTGGAATTTTTTTTATATGTGATGTATTTTCACGACAATTTCACGATTCCATACCTACCAACATTGCTTAATGTATGGTTGCTATTAAAAAGCTACTTGGTCGTCAGAAAGGATATCTGTAGCATACATAAAAATGTCCATGAAACATTTGCTTATTTTCAGATAAAATTCTAGAAAGAACTCATACAGAAATTTCGATATTGAATGCCCCACCATGTATATATATTTTCACTCTGCGGCTAATATAAGATCGTCGTTATTTCATCACCCCGTATACCTACTAAATGGGCTAGATACGATATAGTGAACGGTCATCTAAGGAACTGATAGTGAGCTAAGCGTACCGTGAGCATCTCCATTTTTTGGTCCTTTACCGAAGATGCATCCTGTGCACTGGTGTCGTGTTGTTGCTCTTTATGTTTCATAACGACTATAATGTCTTGCAAGTCATGAGCTGTCCGAAGAATGCGATTAAGACACGCTGTTAACTGGTGTTCATACTTCTTGCCGTTCATGAAGTTACACTGAAATTGAAAAGAGAGTGTGAAACATCGGCCTCAGCTAAAGAAAGCAAAGACTCCATTAACAGTTCGTACATTCGTCGTAGAATGTATGCAGTTTACGAAATAAAATACACTATTGAATAACTAAATGCGATTGTACTGTAAAACCCTTCCTTGCAACTTTAATTGTACAGGGACATCGTTGAAAAAAGAAAATGCCGCTTGAATGACGGGAAATACTGGCTATGGGCCGGCGGGTACTAATGAGTATAATTTAATACAGCCATTATTACGGATTCTTCTGTTACATATCTCAATGATGATAACCATAAAGAACCTTAAATTATCGGATATACCGCAAAGTTCTGTTATACAAGGCATGACACAAACCGGGCGGAATTTTGGCGGGCTGACAGCCAAAATATCCATGAAGAACAAATCAGTAGGATGCTCCATTCCTCTGGACTGGGCTTCTCTTAATGATCCGAACAGATAACCCATAACAACATGCTCCAGGATCCACAAATCGCGAAGATGCTTTTTAGCTTGCACTGCCGTAAAAAAGGTTTGGGCTGTACCCTCAGAGTACTCTTCTCTTAAAAAATTTTTTTCTGCGTTTTCGTTAAGAGCGAGCATCTCGTCATCGTCATCAACGAAGCTTTTATTGCCGTAGAGGCTTCTTTCCAAAACCCTGTCGTACGAGAAAAATAAAGTAATCTGAGTATATAGGCAAGAATACAATTTTCCAACTTAGTTAACTTTAGTCTAAGGCATGAGTTACGCTTTACCGTGTTCCCCAGAAATAGTGCAGCGGTAGATGTGAATAGATGTGGTAGGTTATTAGTTATTATTACTTAGTACAGCCGGGTATTCTATGTTCGAAACCAAACATTAACACACTTTTGCCTTTGGAACCAGCCATCTGATACCGACAATACCGGACTTACTCGAAACATTTATTTAGGTCGCATCTTACAAGAAGTTCTCCGGATAATGCCAGAATCTCGAACGATAAGCGTCTTATTTGAAACTGTACATTGCGCTGAATATTATACTGATTTGAATGGATATTTTCAATAATATCCAAAAAGCACTACAGTCTCGAAACTCTAACATACCTTTCCACGTTGTCGAGGTTTACAGATCGGTTTGTGGCCTTACCAGTGGTAAAGATAAATCTGGCCATTTCCTGAACCTGTACAGTGGTTTTGATTTCACCACAAAAAAGGCACTTTTTGCGTGGCTTCATGAGGTACTTTTGAACGAAGTTCTTAATCAATGTATGCTTCATCTCTACAACATTCTTGACGTCGGCCGCGTACCGTGGATCATCGCCGGATAGCTGACGGTTTTGTAAAAATTCCTCGATTTTTCTACGAACTTCGCTGGAGATATCTGGCAATGATGCTTTCTGTTGTGACATAACGTTAATAATCTCGGAGGCAATTTCCTCAATTTCGCCAGCCACACCCACGAGCCCATATTCTAAAACCTGTTTGAAAATTTTGATAAATCATAGGTACGTATCACATTAAATTTGCCTCGAGGTACTTTCTAAATTCGACGTATTTTTTTAATATTAATTCTATATTTATATAATTTACTCGTCAGTTTTATATTTTCTGCAAATGAGAACGCCATGACTCTACAATTTCATTATAACTAGTCAGCAAACACATGATTCTCTTTGCCTCTAGATTGACTTCCTTGGTGTCCTTCGAATTAAGAAAAAAAAACACTTTAGAAATAGAACTTCCATTATTTCTAAACTAACCTGCAACTGAGCAAGAATGGTTTGACACGCAGCTGGTGGCGCTAGAAGCCGATGACAAGAAAAACAGCTTCCCCGAAGAAGTTTGTGAAGATCTCGAAAGTAGACAGGATTGAACGCGGGCAACGGGAGCGGAATATGGCCAATGTGCCCAGGACAGTGAAGTTGCGATAGCGAACATGTGTCGCAGACTTCATCGCGCTCTAAAGCACCTGAAGCAGATAGCACGACAAAATATGACAAGAGTAATGGAAGCGATTTAGCACGAGGAACAATATTAGAATTTCACGAAGATGGTATTATGCGAACATTCGAACATCCATATTATGTTGAACAAGTGATAAAAATTATTATATCTAATATATTAATTACATTACACCGAGCTTACCGAATTATATTACCTGCTCAAAGTAAGGGAGAATATAACATGTCGATCATGAATTCTTTACTGTAAGATATTTACCGAATCGGAAAGCTTTACATATTTTTGCAACGTGTTTATGATTTCCGCACACACGTATATAATTATATTAACGTATAAAATTATAATTAATATGACGTATATAAAAATATAGATGCGAATGTTTATTCTGCAACCTTAAAATCTGGGTTTATAATAACTGTATACCTCTAGGCAAAAAAAATACAATTTACATCGATGTATTTTAGTCACCTTCGCGTTTTTGGAAACTACATTTGTTGTTGTTGTTGAAGCTTCAGTTTTCATTGTGAATCTTCATTAAATTTTGTCGGATTATGCTAGCAATAATACTTACAAAGATCCATGGACTTTCATATTAATGCACAAAAAACACGTGTATTTTATTGCAAAAATTGAAGGAAGAGGTTAAAATAAAGTAAATCTATCGGCATCTTATACATAATACGGTAGACTTCATGATTTAATTTCTGTTTAATAGATTTATTAATGATTTTTTTTAATAATTATTGTTTTATGATAATATATAGAAGATAGAACAGAGATTAACAGGTGTCCAAAATTCCTCTATCTATAAGTAGAAGTTTGCAACTATTTGGATATATATAATAAAGTTTACATTCTTACCCATTCTTCCATCATATAATCCTCCGCGCGACGGGTGACCCATGAGATCAAACGTCTGAACATTGCTAATTTCCATGACACTCTGCCTTTTGATTTCGTCGGTCGATAATACGGTAAAAGAAAGGCTCCTCACCGCGCTCGACACAGCCATCGGATCAAGATCAGCCATTTTGTCTCTATCGCTTTAGCACAGTGTTATTTCAGATCCCTTAGTAACAGCTGAACACACTATCACAACACTTCTACAGAAGCCCTGTCAGAACCATACCTGCACACTGGTCTGGGAACGAAACCATAATAAAATGCGCTTGTCTTTCACTTTTGAAACAGTGGGGTGTTGTTTACCTGTACATATGCTTCTATCGAGTTTCAAACCTGGTGTCTTGATATTAATATATAGATACCAACAATTGAAAAAGTCTGTGTTCGTCACATGAGCGCGCCCCTCCACGTGAATTTAACTAGGGACTAAATCGATTCAAAGAACTTTTGGAAGGTCATTGTGGAAAGGGCTAACAGCGCGAAAGAAGCGCGGCAAATTCAAATTGTGGTACGGCAACGAACACGACGACGAAGCTACACTGAATTAAAACTTTGTTATATTTGATGTTTGAAGCTTAATCTTGGGTCGATTTGGCACTAAAATTAATTTAAAAATAATGTTTGTCTGTGTCGAGATAGCGAATTGAGTAATCATGGCATTCTTCCTCCCAAATCCGCTAAACAAGCTGACAGCACGAGGACTCGAAACGATTTCAGGCATACCCACCAAATCAATGCGTCCACTGTGTTCAGTACCACAAAGCGTACCACGGCGACCCAACGTACCAATTCACTCACTCCAGGCTATTTCTCTGAATGCGAATTGCCGTGCTCGTGTTTTTGTAAGGATAATCGACTCCAGAAATATTGGAACGAGTTTCCCGTCACCACCGTGACGTCCCTAATAAAAATTGTGCGACATCGACCAATCGTGATATCGGCTCAGGCCGGCCTATCAGCACTTGTAGTTGTTCGGTAAGTTCCTAGCGTCTAGGCCTAACGTTTACAGCTCCTCAGGCACTGTTTCAACACGGTTTTTCAACAAAAGTGAGCCGATTTTCGTAATTTTTATGCCGTTGGCCTGCGAAGTAGTAAGAGTGTTTTCGCGCGACTGCGCCGGTACCGTCCTCCATTGCTGTGTAGCCGGGCGACGGCCATAGTAAAAATGGTGGACGAAGCCGCCATCGACCAGCAATGGCGTCCCTTTCGGCCGCTGATATTGGTACAGAAGGCCACCCTCGGGCTGGTTGGTAGCACCAGCAGTTCGTGTCCACCTTTCAGGCATAGCGAGTTCTAGCGAACCTGTCATAGTAGATTTCATTGGGTTGTCACCAACGCCACTCACAACCGGCCCGTTCTTTGTAACTAACCAGTAGTACCAGCCAGTTGGGACGCACGCACGTTTCGGTTCACTGCTAGACAGCCCCAAGTTGGTTATATTATTATATGTTGTTACACTGTCCTTATGTGACGGTGACGTTTAATTCCCATTAACACCGACTTGCAACAAAAATTGACCCGTTGTAAACAAAAAGAAGTCACCCCTTTAAGTTAGTCAACCGAAATTAGCGTAGTTATTTAGCGTGCTCTCTTTGTGTCGTCGCTCCGGCAGATAAAAACAACGTTAGCATTTAATCTGCGAATACAGTCACTTTATTATCAGCTTCTGTAGTAGTAGGAATATTGGTAATTATTCTTGATCGTGTAGTGTAATGCAGTTACTTTGATACTTATCGTGCTTGGCGCAGGACCTCAACACACCAGCATATCGACTTATCAACAAAGTATCTGCGTGTACAAAGTGCTCAGACATTGTTGTGTCGGTTCTTTATAAAGTGTCATCGTGTTAGCCAATTATGGAAGACGAACTTCGCGAAAACGTCAAAAATTTCCTTCTTAATCATGATTTATGCCGCATGTGTATTTTGCGGGCGCTCGGTGAGCGACAGACAAATGCTTATTGCAGACAATTTGAAGAGTGGCGAACTCCTGGCGAACCTCAGTGTAAAAGGGTTCAGCGTGGGATATGCCCGGCGTGCTTGGGTCTTCTTGAGCCTGTCTACTTGTTCGAAGTATTTGAAGCTGTAGTCGAAGCAGTGGCTATATCGGAGTGCCGTTTCCATAACTTTCTACTAACGATCGCGATCCCGCCAGTGTGTTTGCTTCGCCAACGGCTGGTGTACTTAACGGTGAAGAACAAGTTTGAAATGTACAAACTCGCTGAAGAATGCCTAGTCACAGTTAAGGACTGCGTGAAGATGGTGATCGGTTTTCTATTCGAAGATGAATTCAAAGTACTCTTTAGTCCAAAAGCGTCATTCCAGGTTAATATTATTTTACCTGGTGCGCTAACACCGGTGGAGCAAGATGCAGTCAACAAATTGGCAAAACCCGTTGTGAAAAAGTCGCGAAAAGCTATGCGACGCGATGAGTTTTCAACGAAGACAATAACCTCCTTTCTTCAGAGAACAAGTGAGGACAACTTTCGAGCCGAGTTCAAGTTTCCTCCACCGGAAGCCTTGTGTAAGGCTCCGGAGCCACCAAAAGTCACCTGTGGCCACCTTCAAATCTATTTAGCAGGCCGCTACTGCAAATACAGTCGTGAATTGAGTCAGACCCCGTGGCTGATCGAAGGTGAACGCAAGATGAAAAACTCTGTCGAAGAGCTGATTACCGACGTAGTTAGGCGTACCGTCCTATGTGAACGAATAACGTTTTCATCATCAGGCCGAGAAGATGTGGACGTTCGAATGCTTGGAGAAGGCCGCCCATTTATTCTCGAGGTATGGAGGCCAAAACGGATTGACTGGCTAGCCGAAGAAATGGCCCAAATTGAAGTACAAATCAATACTTCAACAAAAGATATCGCGGTCAACCGACTCCAGCTTATTGGAAGGGAACAAGTCAAAGATCTTAAGGATGGTGAGGAGCATAAGCGCAAATTTTATTGCGCTTATTGTGTGACGGCAAAGCCTACAAGCGAGATAGACTTCAGCAAGTTAACCTCGTTGAAAAATCTCGTCCTCAAACAGAATACGCCAATGCGTGTTCTCCATAGACGCACAGCAATGATTCGAGATAGAACGATCCACTCGGCTGAAATAGAGATCGTTGACAGTTTTAAGTTCAAATTGATACTTTGCACCCAAGCAGGAACATACGTCAAAGAATTTGTACATGGTGACCTCGGAAGGACGTTGCCGAATGTTTGCACGCTCTTGGATGAAGCAGTGGACATCGAGAATTTGGACGTAACAAAAGTTGATTTGGATTGGCCGCCAGAGCGAGGAGCTACGGAGCTCCTTGAAAATGGAGTTTTAACCTATGACAGTGACCGAAGTGCCAAGGGGGACATCGTTTAGTTAAAACATATTCCCCGTATTTTTTGTTGTTGTGTACAAATATGCTAATATGTTAGAATGTTTTAACTGAGTATACTAAAAGAAGTTTAATACAGAGAGAAAAGGAATCGCGATGAAAATGAATAGTTGTTTAGATGGAGTAGAAAATAGGATGGAAAGCGGCGCATGTCTTGTTTGCGGTTCTGTAAATATGCACATTTAGATTAAGAAATCTATGTTTATAAATAAAGAAAGTTCTGTTAGTGGGCTAATTTAATACAATATTTGAGTTCGTGATGTTTTTCATTCTAGGTAAAACGTTAGCTTTGGTTAACGAAATTTGATAATCCACTTTACAACTGTTTGCCTCGTAAATAGGAACATCATTTGTATTTGATTCTGCTATGCTTAGTTGACATTGATATAGGTACCTGTCCCAATGGTGGCTGAGGTGGCAGCATACTATAAGCTGGTCTTACGTACAGTAACGTAGCTGTTCAGATCGGAATAACCGAGTAAAAAACATATTTAAGCAGATTTTTTTTTTACAAGAAAGCATTTCGATCGTATGGGTATAGGTGTCCGAGGATTAGCTGGTTATGGAAAACAAGTTTGTTATGGAAGCTGAAACTTTAGATAACCCCAAAAACTTGTTTAGTTACTGATAGTCGTGAAATTCCTACGGGATCCATAATAGAAAGTCACTCCATATTCTAAATGTAGACAGGATGGCGCTATCTTTCCCAAGACTGAGAGTAATCGAGTGGTTACATCTTATTTTTTCTAGTTATGTCTACTAGACGTAACTGTATCTTTCAAGTAAATTTGAAAGATTTTTTTTATATGTATTAATGAGGCGTAGTCTCAAAAATTGTCGTCAGATTTTGATTCCACTTTGAGAATTACTAAGAGCAAGCCGGAAAAATCTACTTAGAGATGCACAATTTGCTATACGGCAAAAATTTAAGCAAAAACTACTATACTGGCAAGTTTTCGCGCTGTGTGATCAGCTCACATATGTCTGTTGTATTGAATTACTGACGTAGCCTGTTGTCCAATAAGATAAACTTCTGCATTTAGTCATTCTCGCATCAGTCACTAGCATAGGAGTTTTCACATTTGTTATCTAAAGATATGCAAATTCTGACTAACCAGTACTTATCAGTAAATAATTGTTTTTAGAAACAATTCAATTCGGTTCTTATGGGGGGTGTAGAATCGCTGCAAGGACATCAAGTAGATTAAAGTAATTATCCATTAAATTCCTTAGAATATTGTCAATACATCCAGATCGACGCCTACAGACGCTTAAACACTGAGAGTACTGCTATCAATACTAATGTGAAGTGTTTCAGGAATAATGCGATTATCTGTTCCATAACACACGTATTATTGAATAGTATTCGTGGGGTGTTTATCGCTGTTCTCGAAGGATTTAACTGTCCGTTAGGTCAGCCAGATCGCGTCTTAAACTAAAGAATAGCGCCTCGGTTTAAATCAGAATATTCGTGTTTTGAAGCATCTTAAAAATACCCGATTGAACAAAGCAGTACAGCTGCTTGTGATTTGCATTATTGACTGATAACATCACAGTATGTGATGCCAATCAGATACTCAAGTAACCAATAGGCTTTAAAGATGTTTTCCTAGAGGAACATTCTCTCAATGCAAGTTAGACAGACCCTTATGGCTTTAGGTTAACAGCGTTATTCGTGTTAGCCAGTATGATGAGCTTATATTACTATAGTACTAAATAAATATTAAATCTTACCGCCGACTTGCGAAACAGCTGAACTATTTTAATTCGTTGTTTTATCATTTACTAGTGCGCTGTTACCCAGTAACTTTGCTTTCCTAATTTTTGTGTTTGTCACTACCATAGCGCTAATAAAATAGATATCTGTTGTATTTCTTTGTATTTGATTTTTTTTGTATCTGTGTTACTCTACAGATTTCATCACCAGTAGCCTAGTCTTAGCCGGTTGGCAGACGAAATCGTACAACATCCTCGGAGGACAGGGGTAACTAGAGAACTGGTCCCACCCCTAATTTCGCCTGGTGACTCCCTTTTTATATCGTTGCTACAGACAGAAGGTTAACTTCGCTGACAAACGATAGAGGAGCAGCTTCAACTTGTTGTCCACTTGAGCATCACAAACTGTATTTTCTACCCACAGGCGCTATGTCTTCGTCATCAGAAGCGGTCGAAGAATGTATTGTTGTGACGGGTGAATTTTGTGGTGGTGAAGAAGAGGTGATTTGCGTGGAGAATGCCAACGGAGAGCGAGTCATCACCGCCGATAGTGGCTCTTGTGAGTAGCCTAACTAATCGCTATGATATCACCTACAATTTCCTCCTACCAACACACGCATTATCACGAACCAGGAGCCGCCGCATTCATGTTGCTGTAGCTATTACCAACAGCTGAACCTGTACTCTCCAGCAATCTATGTACCAAAAATGGGATAACTGGCGACATATTTTGGCGGTCGTTAAGTCAATTCAGTGTTACTGACAATGCTATCGCGTTTAACATCCGTTGAGCATCTGCGAGCAGCCGTAAAATACTGGTGCAGAAGAAATGAAAACTCTTAATCAGCAGTATTGCTTCAAATTGCTAAGATTTTTCAGTTAATTCATGAGAGTCTCGATAAATAATAGATAATGTATTGGTTGTACTTCGCTTTGTCAAAACCACTCATTATATAAGAAAAAACCCAAGCCAAAAGTTAGAATCTCATTCTTAACCACCGACTTCTGTCAGTAATAAACCGCACGTAGTTCGCGTATAAATATCAACCGTTCGTTCAAGTACTCTTGCCCCCACGTACCGTTATCACTAAGTGCGTTACAGGATTACTTAAAATACTTTAGCTGCATGAAACCTATTACGTAATAAACAACTGGGATGGATATCGGCGAAATAAAAATCCAGTGAATCCTGCTCAGTTCGAAATAAGACAAACGAGACATTTCCATAAATGAACTCTTTTCAATTAACTAACAGTTCTGATAGTTAAATCATTAATAAAAACGGCCTAGTTTAAGAAAAATGTTGCAACCAACACTTCAGAGCACTCTTTTTTCATAGGCCGTTCTGCGGCGCTGTCAGATATACTTGTATGGTAAAAGCAAAGCAAATTGTCGCCTTTCAATAGACTTCCGCTGCATTTTCTTGCTGCGCCGCGTAACTGTTTAGATGATCGCCCATTAGAATTAAACGGAGTTGATTTCTGCCGTTCTGATAGAATGAACTGTCAACAGGGCCGACTTAGTGTTGTTCCTCGACAGGCTACTTTTTATGGGCAAGTTTAATAGTTTCAGTTAGAGGCAGACTTTTATGCAATACTATGAGGCAACGGTGATTGCATCAAAATTCGATTGGAACTCACAAATTAATTCAGTTCAGATCATATTAACTAGTATTATGGGGCTTAACTATCGCGAGTTATTGAGGGTTGTGACGTGGTGTTCTTTATTTTCATGTTTAAGTTTTCTTGCTGTCCCCAACTAGGTAATATGTCGTTATCGGTCCAATTTCTTCGTGAATTACCTCACATAGTAGTTACAATATCATGCATAGTATTTACCAATTAGCATATATGGCGATAACATGAATACCATACATTTGGATGAATATAACCATGTAAATAAAATGGTTATTAGCTAATGAAGGCAAAAACAGATGCAGAGTTAGGCTGATAGACGGTATTTTCATAATGCCGTCATGTATATTGTCAGCACTAATCTACCTTGATGATATTTTTAATACCAAAGTATCAAGTATACCATTTTGAGAATTCGTTGACGCAAGCTAAATAAACAAGTACATTTTTAATGGCAGTAGTCCTCTTTGGGTTTGCTGTTTGCTTTCTTCTAACACTGTATTTAGTAACTGCCAATTTTTAGACCGTGTAGTTTGCTACTAGGATTTTTCGGTAACTTTTTCACCATACAACATAAAATTATTGTTATACATATATGCATTGGGCAGACGATTCGACATATCGATAGGTACTTTGTTGTTGTGTAATTTGCGTGGGAACACCATTGTCTCTCTCTACTCTTATACATGCAAAATACCATATCACTGAGTGTGCACGTGCGTGATACGTTATACTGCTGCTAACATTGATTATTGTTTGATATTGTTGCTGGCTCGTGATGTCGTTCGGTGTTGCTCTTCCATTCAATGGTAACAATGGCTAATACGCCTCGTCGTGCTTGACTCGTATCGACAAAATTGGCCGCTGCGCCGTCGTCTGGTGGGGACTCATTTCTCGTGCTGCATCTCTTATTTCCTTTCATCCTTCTGCTGGTTCCCGTGGTCTGGCGCCCCTTAACCCTTTTGATATTGTTCCTGTTGTTTGTTTTTGGCGTTGTTTTTTCTGTCCGTGTATCGTTATCGTTCGATGATTTTACTCGTCAATTTTGTCGGTGGTTGAATCGTGCCGCCGCTGCATTGCTCGGTTTGTTTCGATTGAGCACAGACTACTTTACAGCGGAAGGGAACATCATTGAAGCAAGTGAGGTGTATACCGATGAACCTCAGGAAGTTGAGATTACCATCGACAATGAAGGAAACCCGCAAGAAGAGGGGGTTATCCAGCTGCAGGTTGGTATAATCACAATTTGAACAGATTTATAAAATAACCGATTAATAAATATATATTATTATGATTATTTTTTTGTACGTACTGGTAATTTCAAAAGTAGCAATAACAATATTATTTTGTTGATATAATGTTACAATTAAGCCGAAAAAAAATCCAATATAATTTAATTAACTTAATTGCTTGCGAACCCTTAAATAGTCGTACTTCGATAGCACAACTATCTTGACAAATATGAACTATTTATGCATACAAGTTTCACTTGTGTAAGCGCTTTTTTTTGCTTCCAGGAGTTCGCCGAGGATGTTCCCCAAGAGATGATTCTTCAGACTCAGGAAGAGGTCATTGGCGGTGTAGCAGAAGGTGAGCATGCATTCTCCATGTTCTTTTTTTACGTTCGATACTTAATGCATTAGGCATTCCTTCAGACGGGTCCTACTAAACCTACCATAATTTTCTTTGACAAACTTGACGATATGAAACGATATGGTGAAAATATTCCATAGTTGTCATTTGAACTAGCAATGGCCGTATGTTCATAGTTACCAGATTATCACACTTAAAGAGATGCGCATTAGATATGATCATAAGTACGTTAGATCAACTAAACTGATATTTATAATTTGGTGAAAGTGCCTGCCAAAAATTGTTTATTTATGTATTTATTTCATATTTATAACTACGCCCCTCTGCAGTTAAGTACACGTATTCCGTTGAGTTTCCCTACTCCATTGCACTACTTGCAATACACATATTGAATTAAACAAAATTAAATAAAACTAACAGAAAAATAAAAAAAACGACAATAAAAAACATGACTTATGTTAATGAAAGCTTTACACGCCAGAGCTACAAAGCAATCATATAAACATTAATGTGCTTGTTCCACAACTCAGGTGATGGTGAAACTGGAGAAGAGTATGTCACAGCCGAAATTGCTATACCCATCGACGAGGCGAATTTGATCACTTCGATTGAGCATCCGTCAGTGGTAACATCGGTTGCAGGAGGAGCTTCTGCTGTTCACACGTCAAGCGCTAGCGGCGGCACCGTCGTGAGACGCACACGGAAAACGGCTGGTACGCGAAAAGTGGCCTTGACCACAGTCCCTGTTAGCGGAATGCCCCCTGGTAAAGCACGCAAATGGGAGCAAAAACAGGTGCAGATAAAAACGCTTGACGGCGAATTCCAGGTGGGTCCGTTGTCTGTTAAGCCAAATTGTGGACAATCACTCGAAATTCCGTATCGTAATATATAAAACATGTGTATGAAGTCATCTCCGTTGAAGAGAGGTGTTTTGAAACAAACGATTTTGGCATATGTCGCATGCACAATTATTTACAAGCTTGAAAGTTAAGCTCCCTCTCTCTCTTTCTTTCTTTCTTTGGTTACTTTTTGCATTTTGTTCTCAATAAAAATGATAATTTTAAAGTAATTTTGAAGTTAATAGCAATCGTTTGATTTATTATTTTATTAATTAATGGCTATGATATTTCACGCTAAAACTGGCGTTGTCGATGTTGAGTATTATGCATGTGTTGTAATTTTTAATCGCATTCAGTAAGAATGGATAATGAGCGATGTCATTTTTCATTAGTAACCAGTTCTGGTAATTTCCCAATTATGTATTGTCTTATTTGCTGTTTTGGGCAGGTGACAATGTGGGCGTCAGGTGGAACCAATGAGAACGATGATATCTCAGTGATCGAAGAGTCGTGTGTAGAGGTTGACCCAGATTTTAGCGAGTACATGCAGAGCTCACATGGTTCAACAGCAGCCACCCCAGGTACCATTTTGACTGCTAATGTGCCAATTCAGGCGTCTTCGTCAGGGTTGGGTTTAACATTGGCAACAGGAGTTGACCTCTCTGACCCTAAGCAGCTGGCCGAGTTGGCTAAGAGTAAAATTCAGCGTGTCAAACCACAGGTATGTGCAAGCAACATAATTGGCAAAGTAATCAAGAATCAGTACCTTATTTGAGTTATCCAACTTTACACGTACATATAAGTATATATTACTTTTTTGCTCACTAGACAAATGTATGTATAGCTGTATCTTTTGATGCAGCGAATTTTCTACAGCAAATCCCACGTAGAGGCAAAGTAAAAATAATGGTATAACTTTTTACGATCACTGATTTTTTTTGTTTTTGGACTGTTGGCCTGGATTCCGCAGGCAGACGCAGCAGCTCGTACAATTGCTTGCCCTCACAAGGGCTGCAGCAAGATGTTCCGGGATAATGGCGCCATGCGCAAACATCTCCATACGCATGGACCAAGGGTGCATGTCTGTGCAGAGTGTGGTAAGGCGTTTGTCGAAAGTTCGAAACTGAAGAGACACCAGCTTGTCCACACTGGAGAAAAGCCATTCCAATGCACATTCGATGGGTAAGAAAACAGTTAAGATGCGTTTTAAATGTACTCTATATGTAAACTATTATATATGACGCACGACTTGGCCAGAAGGTATTTTATTTATGACATATAGGTAACAAAATTAATCAGAATGAGCTTTTTTGATAATCTCGTTTGAACCAAAATGTGCATTGTTACTACACAAGGTAATGTGAACTAATTATGCTAACGTGTTGTACTACTTTTTCTACTTATCTTTCAGCTGTGGAAAACGATTTTCGCTCGATTTCAATCTTCGAACACACGTCCGGATTCACACGGGGGATAGGCCATACGTTTGTCCATTTGATAACTGTAACAAGAAATTCGCCCAATCGACTAATCTTAAATCACACATCCTAACTCATGCCAAAGCCAAGGGCAGGAACGCTATACCCGCGCTAACACTTGGAACGCTCGGCGGTTCCTCTGTAGTCACTTACACGACAAATGACGAGCAGAAATTTGTCTTCGATGATTCGTGAATATAGTTACTAGAACATGAGAAGTCCACATCAATCGCCTTCAACGTTATGGCATCTCCACCTTGAATATCCGATTATAGTCGATACTCATATCGATGTCTTTTTATAGATCAAGAAAAACTGGTTTTGCGAACTCCACGATTGATCAAGCCGCACATCAGAAGAACGCTATACGACGCTGCCTGACGCTCGTCACAAAATGCCATACGCAGTTGAAAATATTCACTGCGAACCACGAGAAAAAGATTTGTGAAAGCCGTATCGGGCTGTATCTAGTAGAAACTGTAACTAAAGAAATGCTTAAACCACCCAGGTAAAAGTTGGTAGCCCTGTCTGACACAGATAGCACGGAAGGTCATGATTTATCGCTCTGTACATAACGTTCAAAGAGAGGATGGGCGGGGTTCCAGGCGCTGGGCTACAGCTAATGTCTAGATATGCATATAGTATAAATTATATGGATAAATACATTTATAATTCAGCAGAATTAATAAGCCGAGGTTGGTATACTAGGGTCCTCTTAAAAAGGGGATACTCACACAGGGTATCCTGCTTCCGACAATAAATGAGTCTGACCTATGATAAAACGAAAACTTAAGGATATCGCCTTAATCTCTTCCCATTTTTTCGCTTGTTTAGAGAAGCGATCAGAACGATAAATGGTTAACGAAAACGATCATAAGTGAGAACGATAACAAATGAGATAAGAAAAGCTATAATACGATGTACATATCACACTGTAAATAGGATGAATTTACGTAGATAGAAGCATTTAGCGTTGGGGCACACACCTTAGTGTGGGTAATTTAAAAACTGCTACAGACTTTATTATTATTTGTTATTATTACTAGTGATCAGTAATTGCGACGATGTAAATGATTAACAACGCTTACAATACTAAACTGGTACAAACATGATAAGATGATGATAACGGTAACGCTAACAATAAACCTACCTAGTAAAAAAAAGGGTCATATTCGCGAAAAAGGAACAGCGTTGCCAGGAACGATTGACTGGGATAATTCTGTTCCCATGCTATGGAACAGAGAATAAAAATAAGTGTAGCCGTTGAGTCAAGTCAAATGTGAGGATCTCGAAATCGTTGAGTCAGAAGAAAAAATTGACGATACGAGAATTTCGGTTGTTGTGTTGCTACGTCTTTGAATTTTGAATTTTGTGAGACTACTATAATTATTGAATAAGCGAGAGATATGGGGGATTTTGGTTTATCGAATTACTTTGAATCGGATGGATTTATAGATTCCAAGCTTCTAACTTTCAATCATTTGAAATTACGATGTTATGCTTTCAACTGTAAAAGTTTGAAATTAAATCGCAACGTCAACTAAATTTGTTGCCATCTTTATCCTATAATTTTTACGGAGGCTTTCATTTGTAAGATAAAAGTACCCTAGCTAACGTCGATGAGCAGCTGAAATTTACTTTTTGTGAGTCGTTACTGATGCGTGATATAATTTAAAAAAAAAAAGGAATCCACTGGCTATCTACACGTTTTGTCTTACTTTTAATCGCATAAATTTAGTTTGTTTTAAAAGCTTTATGAGTAATTTTTACCAACAAAAAGTATTGCATCTAAGGTATCCGTATTGCATGTATTTGAATCACTAATTATCTAGATAAGAAACAGACTCCAGATCTCTGCACTTCGTTTATTTTCCGAAAACCACAAGACCAAGTTCTAGTTTGAAATAAACAACGATTTTATCATTAAAGAAAATCTTTGATGCAAGGATAACGTAAGGGGATTACAGGAGCTACGAAAGCGTCGGATAAAACTACTTTAAATAAAATAAAGTAGACTTGAACGGCAAAGCCCAACAATTTCGGATTTTATGTTGAATGAACAACAGTTTTTGATTGACTGTCGACATTAGGCTTCAATCGAAATACATCCCTCAAAGTAATATCAAGTTGGTGTGTTTTTGTTTATGTAGTTAGTATAGGTTATAGAAAAAAAAATAATTAATAGGTTTATTGGCAAAACAGTAATTCAGTGTTTTTCTGTTGACACATAGGTGCATGATGGGTAAGTCGCCTGGTAAAACTTAATCTTTATCAAAAAGCAAATCTTTTATGTTTCCGCTTGAAAATTTTTGTTTTAGTTTGAGCGAGTCGGGGTCTGTCTAGAGTTTTCTTTTGCAAATGTATAGGGCCTTTGGACGAGTCATTTATATTGATTTTTGCCGATATTTTTAGACCACAAGAAACTGTTAAAGCAAACACATAGTATATCCGCGGTTTTCTTGAAGAATTAAAACGGCATATCTTCATCAAAAATAACTGTGTCGTTATTATAGACGTTCGTCTAATGGTGCTTTTATTGCTAGCCCACGGACCATCGTCTAAGGTACGATCATAATATAATATGTGAGAAAGAGCCTGAAGAGTTCTTAATAATAATATTTTAACGATAATTTGACTGAAAACATTTTTAATTTATATATTTAAATCTAAATTTAAACCGCAAAGAAACATTTTTTTGAACTGAAGAGAGACTTTTGCTACACTTTATATAGCGAAAGTGGTCAATCATGCTACGTACGATGTGTTATTCAAAAATTTCAAGCGTTCTTCTTCGTGTGATTTGTGTTAGATACAAATGATGCGTGGCTTCTGCTGTTTACCATAGGTATGATGGTCGATCTGTTGTTATCTCGTAACCCAGACGAGCAAATAACTTAATTATTGGCTGCTTAGCCAAAGGACATAGATTCTCCAAACAAATCATGCGTCGCACGTATTATGTACTGTAGACAAACAGTGATTAACGACTTAATCGATCGGAAGTGGTAGGTGAACCTTTGTCTGTTACATTAAAGGTTCAGGTTTTTGACAATGAATATACGTTCTATTAGTTCATATCCTCGTTTGATAAATCCATGAGGTGATAATGCCATGAGTAAATTGCCATTAGTACATCACAGACTTTTCGTAGTTTTACTATTTTAAAGAGAGAGAAAAATAGGGAACGTAAGCTTATTTCAAGCAGTGGCATCTCGTTTCCTATTTCTATTATACCAATAACAATCACATGAGTTCAAAGAAAATTCACAAATCAATAAACTACATAGTGTTCGTTTAACGACTCTACATAGTTAGGCTTCGTATTTACCTATATGGCGAGCTTGTTCAGCTTGGGTGTTGCAGCAGTTCTCAGAAAAGTGACAAGGTGCTATGCTTACCATGCATGTATAACTATATATATATATATATATAAGAGAATGCAGTGTAAGTATGCTTACCGTTTGAAGTAATTTGTTTTCTATTGCGGCATTACTCGAATATTTCCGTACTCGTGAAATAAACTAAACGTACGGTAATCAGTTAATGGCTGAAGCATTCTCTACTCTAACATCCATTTGGGTAAAGATTGGTTCTGATTACGAATCCGATAAAGGTTTGCCACAGGGGTACTCGTTTCAATATTTGTATGTGGCATCAGCTTGTCAAGTAACCAATGTAAAGTAATTGCCTCCATATACAAATACTCCTACGAATATGCATTGGAATCAAAAAGTTTAAGGAAGCTTTGTAGAAAATAAACGTAAGTAATTAACCTCAGAATAGGTATTATTCTGAAAGGCTCTTGCACCTACTGTGCGATTCTGCTATGATTATGGTTTTTATTACTTTATTGAGTTATTACCTGAAAAATTCACGACGATTTGGAAGAAGCTAGTTGGAACACCGTATTAAGGGATAGTTCTTATATTTGATCTAGTTTAGTTAGGACCGTTTCGATTTCTCTTTGGTAACAGCATGCAGACTTGGCCTCCTGTCCGTCAACTTCGAATTGAGCACAGAAAAATAGACGTGGATTCGATAAAAAACGTGAACACCAGAAATGGGGTTTCTTGACGAAAGCACCTCATTTGAAGAGGTTTTAGAACACAGCTAGGTTTGCACTATTTGTATATTAAGATTTCTTGGCAGTTGCCGATGCACACTTTGCATTAGGCTAATACAAACGGTTGAACTGAAGGCAAACTTGATGGGGACCATTCTTTGTGTAGATTATGATAGTACAATGACTTCAATTGTAAAGTTTATACAGAACGTTTTAGTGAATAACATGTAGGTAAACGATTTTGTGCGGTTGTAGTACCGCTTTTCAGAATGAAATCCGTGAATGTGTTCGTAAAAGGTGCGAATCACCTCGGAATTTTTTTTTATTCGCTTACGAAGTACGCTCATAGGAGGGTACAGGCCGGACCGTTTCTTACAGTCTATTTTTAAATATCATTTTTGTTTCAAATTAAAATGGTCGTTTTATGAAGCCAATGGAGTAGTTTCTAAGCATCAATGAATAAATTTTGTCGAAAATTACCGGAACTATGAAGGATCCAAACGATTGTAATTGCTGCCGGTCCCATATTTTGACGACCCACAAGTTTAAACGTGACACTTTATTGATCTCACAATAAAGAGCTTAAAAATAGAACGCAGTGAGAAATGTTTATTGCGACGAACAAGCTCTACTTTGTATTCTTCCTATAGTCACTATGAATTTGCTGCATATATGAAATGTACTGATATAGAACGTTTGTCTATGTTTTTTTTTCTGTAGAGTACCTTTTAATTTAAGTACTTCCCTTTTTTGAGCAAACGGTTTTGTTTTTGTTGGCTCATTTTGCACTTACCGATCATCGATTCAAGTGAATAACATTATAAAAATTATATAAACTATGTCACTGTTTTAGGATGAGAATGTGAGTAGACAAGAAAGAGAGATATACCACACAATACCACTAAATTGGCCTGCCTCCATATGCCAGATGCCATGGTCGTCATACTATGTGTCCATTCTTTGTCTGGCTGTAATAGTCTAGTGGTGACCGATTTGTTTAGTAAACTAAGAACCACGTGACTGGTTGAAAGCCAGCCGTCTGAAATGGTGCTTTAAATATCGGAATACGTGAAAAAATATATATTAGGTAAATATCTCGGATCGATTTTCATAATCCGGTCGTTCAGTACAGCTCCGGTGCAAAATTCCTACTCTAAAGTGTTTTCAAGTATGTCCATTCATGTTAGGTTTCTTTGCTTTTGTCCTTAAACAGATTCACCTTCGATACACAGAGCCCGAAGGCATAAAAATTCACGCGCAGCGATGAAGGAGAATTAAAGGCCGGAACTCTACTTTGCCAGCAGGTCTGTCTAGACCCCACCCAGAGACAACGGGTTTCGGTGAAGAGCAAGGCATCGATAGGATCGATAATATTGTTCGCCGCCTTTGCGCCCATCCCTAATTCATCCCCGTCACTAAAGCCCTTTCGATTTCCCTTAGTGCGTACGCTTTTCTGAACGAATCTGGGCTGGTGACTGAGGGCTCCTGCTTGACTACCTTCCGTAATTCTATGCAGTAAGGTGTTCGCCGGTTGGAGAGCGCCGAGTGAGGTGTGACAGCCTAGCTTCTGCAGCGGTCACCATCAATGTCGTGCTGTAGCTCAACCTGCCGGACCAACTTGTAGGCGGTTATAGCTACCGGAAGTCGATAATAGGCTTTCTATAAATGTACGAATAATTCGTTTGGACCTCTTTTACATCTGCGCCGCTGGATATACACTCTGGGAATTACGAATCAAGTTCGGCACGCTTCTGCTCTAGGTTGCTATTGTTTGTGCATTAGGCTAATTACAGTATGATTAATGTTGGCTTATGTATGTGGTACATAAGAAAAATAAGCATTATACGCCGAATAAGAGGTGTGAAGAGCGCTCGGGTAGTATTCTGTTTGCGCTTTTCACAAACCCTGCTTTGGCTTACTGTCAACTGTTGCTAACGTGCACAAGGGACTAGCTGTCTTCTAATAGTAGCCTTCAAGTTAACGTTGTTTGATGGTATGATTTGTTTATGCTGCTGAAACCGAACTCATGCTGACGAGAGCCAACCTTCTGTCAATAATTAGCTGGCGGTTATTACAGTGGGACACAAGCACAACAAGCAGGAAGTAATTTATGGATAGTCACGTACACAAGGCCGGCCATAAGCAGGTCACCTGAAGAGAACGACCCAGCTAGATGAATTTAGATCGGATAGAATTTTATGGTTTGTTTGAGTGGACCTTGCGTTGGTATCGTTCGAAGTCTGATTGGCAGCTGATAATGCCATAATCTATTTGAAAGCAAAATCCATTGTGATAGATCGTAGTAAACCAGGGTAATCTCATAATAATTGTTCAGCAATTTTTGTGATGTTGAGTACAACAAATGATGTATATCAGTCTCCAATCTCTGTTACTGCTGCGTCTCTGTTTGGTTACGACTGAAGGCAATTTTCGTTTCCTGCGGAGGCAGAGTGTAAAATTTCAGTAATAAGAGCTTTACCTTAAGTCACGGTAGGGTTTAAGCTGCTGTTCGTGCGTCCAAACATACACATCATTAAAAGCAGGAGTTTTTAAAATTAAATCATTTGAAAACATTTTAAAATTGATCATTTTAAAAATGAAGCAAAAATTACCTCTGTTACGGGATGTTTCTGCGTATCGTCAGGGAAGCAGGCTCAAATGCAATTGTTTTGTAATTTTCATGTAGAATTAGTGTTGACCTAATCAGTAAAAGAAAAAAGTAATTTTTTAAAATAGTTACAGTAGTCCATAAGAGAACTGCTTTCTATCACGTTTCTGTTGAAGTTCATAAAGACAAATTGTTTCTTATCGACCCATTTAAATGGGTTCATTGCGAGATCCGGAAAACTGCCGATTCTCAGGTGGCACTCACATTAACAGTGATTACTTTGTGTAAGTTATAAAAAGAAAAGAGTAGAAAAAGCAATAGACAAGAAAACAGATCCGTGATTACAAGCCTAAATATGCAAATAAACATGATTTATATGATGCGTCCACCTTAAACAGTGCTATCTCGCACTAGTATTGCGGCAAGTATTTACCTATTAGTAAATTATACTTCAGTAATACGTGACCCGGACTTTCGATAGGAATAAAAAGGTTATCGTGGCTAGTTGACGAGCAACGCAGATTATTCCCTTGTTGTACCATCTCGTATTGA